GCCTGTGGGAGTACTGTGAGGTGAGAACAGGGGGCTTGGTTTAACCCAGGGAGGGGGAGCTGCTGCTGCCCTGCTGGCTCTGCTGGGGCCTGTGTGAAAGCACCTGAGCTTGTGCTGATCTCTTTTTTTTGACCCTGTTTTTGATGTCCTTCCTCCCCAGAGATCCTTTGATAACCCTGAGTGGTTCTACCGGCACGTGGAGGATCACAGCTTCTGCTCCGAGTACAAGGCAGCAGGGAAGGAGAACCACGTGGTGCTCTGTGGCTGGAAAGGTCTCTGTGTGGCTCCAGGGCCTCTCCAGAGGGGCTTTTGCACGGGGCTGGGTTGCAGATGTGGCACAGGAGAGCTCTCTGCTCCTCGGGAGGGTTTCAGACCTTCAGAAATGCCTGTGCGTGGTGCTGAGAGGGAAATGTCCCGCAGGATTCGCTTCAGGGCATCCAGCTGAGTGCTTGACACTGAACTTTTCGTTAATATTTAATTAGTCCCTAGAAGAAAAGGCTATTTTTATCTGTCATTTCCTCCTGTGTTTGGTGCAGTTGCCTCAACTGCTGGCAGGGGTCGTGCCAGCCGTACCCCAGCGATCTCACCCTGCTGTGCCCCTGCTTCCTGGGCTTTCTGGGGGCCTTGCTGCCCAAGAGAGAAGAAGGCTGGTGCTCAGTCAGTGGCCCAGCTGTGAGGGGTCTCACTGTGCTGTTGTTTGTGCCCAGACTGCGACTGCAGCTTCAAGGGGCGCTGCAAACTGCGGGAGCACCTGCGCAGCCACACGCAGGAGAAGGTGGTGGCCTGTCCCACCTGCGGGGGGATGTTTGCCAACAACACCAAGTTCTTCGACCACATCCGCCGCCAGACCGCCCTGGACCGTAAGCCCCGGGGGCAGGGAGGGGTTAGGGGGGCCATTCCTGGGGCTGGGATGTTTGGGAAGAGACCTCCAAGCTCATCCAGTCCGAGCTGTGCCCGATCCTCACCTTGTCACCCAGCCCAGTCCTTCCTTGGACACCTCCAGGGATGGGGAGTCCAAACCTCCCTGGGCAACCCCTTCCAATGCCTGACCACCCTTTCCAGGAAGAAATTCCTCCTGATGTCCAACCTGAGCCTCCCCTGGCACAGCTTTTGTCTTCTGAGGAGTGTCTTCTTGCAGAAGCAGGATTGGAGGGCTCACACTGCTCAGCCAGAGCACAGTCCCAGGCAGCAGCACTGGGATTTGCTGGCTCAATTCCCTGTGCTGACAGTGTGTGTGATGGTTGGCTGCCCCATTTCTGCCATGGGAGGCTGTGCCTTTTGGTCTTTGCAAGTGTTGTTTTGGGTGGTTTTATTTTTTTGGTTTGGCTTTGTAGTCATTGTGTGCTTTCTCACCACCCCCTCCCCTTGCTCCTTGTCTCAGAGCAGAGGTTCCAGTGCTCCCACTGCTCCAAGAGGTTTGCCACGGAGAGGCTGCTGCGCGACCACATGAGGAACCACGGTGAGTAAAGGGCTGAGCCCTGAGCAGAGAGCGCTCTGCCCTGCTCTGGGGTCACGTTTCCCCCCGTCCTTGGCGCAGTGAACCACTACAAGTGCCCTCTGTGTGACATGACGTGCCCCCTGCCCTCCTCCCTGCGCAACCACATTCGCTTCCGGCACAGCGAGGAGCGGCCCTTCAAGTGTGACTACTGTGACTACAGGTGAGGGCAGGGGCTCTCCCTCCTCCCCGGGGCACGTGTGTGCCTGTGCTGCCGTGTTCACAGCTTTGTGTGTGTCCCCCCCCCCTCCTCCCACCATTTCCTTCCAGCTGCAAGAACCTCATTGATCTGAGGAAGCACCTGGACACGCACAGCAAGGAGCCGGCGTATCGCTGCGAGTTCGAGGCCTGCAGCTTCTCTGCCCGGTCCCTCTGCTCCATCAAGCTGCACTACAGGAAGGTCCACGAGGTGGGAGGGCAGCATTGCTCGTGTTACCCCGTGCCAGCCTTCCCAGAGAGGCTGATTCCCCCTCCCGTGCTCACCCCCCCTCTCTGTGCCCCCCCAGGGTGACTCGGAGCCCCGGTACAAGTGCCACGTGTGTGACAAGTGCTTCACGCGGGGGAACAACCTCACCGTGCACCTCAGGAAGAAGCACCAGTTCAAGTGGCCCTCGGGGCACCCTCGCTTCAGGTACTGCCTGTGCTGAGCTCCCAGAGTCCCCCTTCCCTGTGTGCTCCCGTCTCCTGGGCAGGGCAGTGTGACTGTGCACCCCCTGCCCGTGCGTGCCAGGTACAGGGAGCACGAGGACGGCTACATGCGGCTGCAGCTGGTGCGCTACGAGAGCGTGGAGCTCACAGAGCAGCTCCTGAAGGACAGGGAGAAGCGTGGGGAGGCCCTGGAGGACCCAGCTGAGTGCGTGGTGCTGCCTGAGGGGGAGGGCAACCTGCAGGGCATCATCCTGGAGCCCCCAGCGGACGCTCCCCTGGCAGAGGAGAACGGCGGCTCAGAGCTGGGCCCGGCCCCGTGCTCTGCTGGCAGCCCCCAGCCAGCCCAGCCCAGCGCCTTCCAGGGAGCTGCACTGCCGCTCAGAACAAGAGCCCAGCACCTTCCCAGGGCCGGCTTTGTCCTCAGAGCAAGAGCCCAGCACCCCCAGCAGCCCCATCATCCGGGTGGTGAACAGGACCAACGAGCACGGGGAGAGCGAGACTGTGTATTACGTGATGGCCAGCACGGCCCCGGGGGAGCAGGGCACAGCCCCTGCAGGGCTGGCTGGGGAGCTGGAGGAGAATGTCATGGACAGGCTGCAGAAGACAGCAGAGGAGCTGGGCATCCAGATCGTGTGAGGTGCCCTGTGCGTGGGGAAAGCTTGGGCCTCGGTGGGATGTGCTGCTGGGGGAGGCTGGGGGGTACCTGGGTGGGCTTGTCTTCACCCTGTGCTGCCCCTGGCACTGGGCAGCATGGGGAGAGGGGAAGGACAGGTCTCAGCTGTGGATCAAGGGATGTGAGCTGGGAGGGGCTGGCTGTCTCCTCCTCTTGGGGATTAGGGACCAGCAAGCCTCTCCCACCCTCCCAGGAGGTTTGGCCTAGGCCTGGCCCAGGGAACTGGTGGGTGATGTGGTCCCTTGCTGAGCCTGTTCCTCAGCCAGGACCTTTCCAGGCTGGGTGATGTGTGGGGCAGACACTGGTGCTGAAGCCTCTTCCCTGGGGAGATGTGTGGCCTTTTGCAGTGTCCTTCCCCAGCCAGGGTTTCTCCAGGGGATGGCAATGCCTTCATCAGCACATCCCTGCATTTCATCTCTGCTGTTTCAGCTGGTGCTGGTGGTGGTGGTTGCACCCCTGATCCCATTAGTCTCTGGGAGGAGAGGGCTGGAGGTGCTGTCCCTTGCAGGCCACTGCAGCACTGGGACACTGGGAGCTTCCCTTCTGCTTTTGTCGTTCCCTGGGTTTCCTCCCCACATTGGGGTTTGGGCTCCTGGTTGGGCAGTGTGTACTTTGGCAGGACAAATAAAGATCAGGCTGCCAGGCCAGGCAGTGGCTGGTGTGTGTTTCAGCCCCATCCCTGCCAGCTGGGGGGTGAGAAGGTGGCACTGGGATACCCTGAGCCTGCAGTGTGGGAGGTGGGCACTGGAGAGCTGCCAGGATCTCCTGACACCGTGCAGCTGGCACTGGAGCTGTGCTGCTCCACGTCCCCAGAGGTGGCACTGGAAGGCCGGGTTTAGCTCTGGCACTCCTGTTCCTGCTGTGGGTTTGGTTTTTGCTGCCTCCTCCAGGGCTGTGCTGCCTGCTCTGGCCTTTTTTGAAAGCAGGGAGGAGCCTGGATTTGTGAGCAGAGCCAGCTTGTCCTTTGTCGAGTGACTGGCCAAGGACAGTGTGAATTTGGGGTCCCTGGGGTGACCTTTGTGCCCTCTACCCTGTGTGGAGGTGATGAGCCCAAGGGGAGGCAGGGAGGCACCTTGCTGGACGCTGACTTTTCCCCCTTGCTCCTTCCTTGAGCAAAAGCTGTTGGAATTCCAGTTTAGTGGAGGAAATCCCTTTATCCTAAACCCTTGGCCATCTGCTCACTTTCCAGTTGCACCCACTGGCTGTGGTTTGGTGGCTGTGCCCTTGGGGTGGGGCAGCTTTGAGCAGCCCTGGGTGAGGGGCACTGAGCTGTGCAGGGGCCATCCAGGGGCTGGGGATGGAGCCAGGGATGAAGTGGCCAGAGCTGCCTGAAGGTTGTCCTGGGGCTGGATCCGTGTGTGAAGGGCAGAGTGCCCCCCCTGCACCCCAAAATTCTGCTCTCCAGGGGTGAGTGGAACACAAGTAGGGCTCAGGGGGTGTCCCAGCAGCCCTGACAGCACAGATGCCAGAGGATGCTCCTCGATCCAGGCAGAGCATTCCTGGGTTTAGAATGCAAGGTTGAGGCCTTGCCCAGCCTTCCCCTCCCTGCCTGGCCCCTGCTCCCTGCTCCTTGGCAGAGCTGGGCTGAGGATACCTTCGAGAGAAGGGCCCTGTGCCAGCTTTGCATTCGCAGCACTGCCAGCCTGGCCCTCCTTCCAACATCCTGGCAGAGCCAGGGCTGTGCCTGCCTGGTGTTGGATGGAGTGGTGGGTGTTGGGACTGGAGGAGAGGCGGTGGTGGCTGGGAGTTGTCCCTTTAAACACCGGGCCCGGGCAGGGTAATCTGCCAGAGATTATCTGCTGGGGAGAGGATTGGCATTAGAGGGAATGTCTCCTCCCTTCCCCCATGTCCTACAGCAGCCCCTGTCCCGTGTGTGTGTGTGTATGGAAAACCAAGTTCACTTTCTCCTGGGCGAGCAGAGAGGGGGGTCTGTGGTCTGAGGGGCGAGGGGAGGAGGGCAGGGTGTCCATCATGGCACTGGGCCTCCTCTTCCTCGCCCTGCTGGCCACGCTGGTCTCCTGCGAGGACCCAGAAGGTAACAGGGCGTTTTTGAGGGGGGATGAAGGGCTTGCAGGGTGCCCCAGAGCTGCTGGACCAGTCTTCCCCAGTAAGGAGCAAGACTTTTGTCACGCCCCTGTGCCGGGGCTTGGCACAGGGGAAGGGGGAGCTGGGGCCTGGGAGGGCACTCACCACAGCAAGGGTTGTGGGGTGGGCTGAGAGGAGCTTGGGTGGGCTCAAACGCCTCCCTGGGGGACTCTGAGGGCCGGGGAGCTGGTGGGAATGGTGGTCCTCACGCCCCCCAGCCTTGCTCTCAGTGGCACCAGAAGACCTGGATACCTACTGGTCTGGCACAGCCCCCATCTGCGTGGGGGGCTGCAAGGGCAAGCACAAGGAGCTGAAGAGGAGCCAGTGTGGGAACGGCAGCTGCTGCTGGCTGGGCTACAAATCCTTCTGCAGAGGTAAAACCAGGGGGGAAGAAGACCGGGGTGGGGGTCCCAGGGCCACCCCAGGGCTGGGCACAGGCAGCCTGAGGAGGGCAGGGTTTGTGCCACACACACACAGAGGTTTGTGAGTGCCTCCAGCAGCCCGGTCCCGGGGCCACGTGGGGACACAGCTCCTGCCCAGGATCCAGGCCCCGCAGCCCTGTCTGGGGCACCCCTGGGGCTGCTGGTTGCGCAGGGTGGTGTCAGACAGGACACCCTCCTCTCGTTGGCAGTGAACTGCGGGCGGCCTGAGGCGGATTTCAACTCGGTGGTGCACGGGAACGACTGGTGGGTGGGCTCCGTGGTGCGCTACAGCTGCCGGCCCGGCTTCCTGCTGCTGGGGGACGCCGCCAGCACCTGCCTCTCTGATGGCCGCTGGACCCCCAAGCCCACCTGCCTCCGTGAGTACAGCCTGGGGCACGCCGAGCCTCCCCACGGCAAAGTGCCCCGCAGTGGGCACCCCTGGACATGCCCTGTCCCCGCTCCCGCAGGGATCTGCCTGCGGGGCCGCATCGAGATCAGCGAGCGCGACATCGCCGGGGAGTGCTCGTCGTCCTGCAGCTCCCAGGCCCACCTGGGGGCCCCCCTGAACCGCGGCTGCATCAAGATCTCGTCCTGTGTCACCAAGCGGTCGGGCTGGGCCCGCTGGTTCCAGCGCTGCGACATCTGCGAGTGCGACTGCCACGTGCCCTGCGGTGAGTGCCCTGGGAAAGGTGGGCACTGACGCCCGGGGGGCTGCAAACAGCTCAACATTGCGGCCTTTGCTTCCCTCACAGGCTCCTCCAGGTAGAGCCAGGGCTGAGGGAGGCCTCCACCCTGCGTGTCTGTCCTCTTCACCACGTGTCTCCATTGCCTTGCTCCTTCCATAAGCTCCATCCATCCCAAGGCTGCCATCTGAGAGGAGATGTCCTGGACTCACCCTTGCCTTGCTGTCTGGCCCCGTCCCAGGGCTCTCCAGGGGCAGGGGATGCTCACGTCCCCTTTTAGGGGGGAGGCAGCACGTGTGCCTGTGGCTGTTCCAGGAGTGTCTGTCCCATCAGTGCTGCAGGCCGTGATTTCTCCTTGTGCCAGGGATTCCCTGCACACAGGCCAGGGCTAGATCTGCCCTCTGTGTTTGCTGCAGCCCTCAGGCAGGGCTGGATTGTGGGATCTGCAGAGCAGCCTGGCCAGGGATGCAGCACCCCTTGCTGAGGAATCAAGCGGGTCCAAACTGCCCTGGGAGCACTGGGGTCAGCACAGATAACTGGGAGGAGAGGTTTCACCTCCCAGCTGCAAAGTCTTTCCCGTGGGCAGCTCCACACACTGACTGCTGGGCTCCTTCCAGAGGGTTTCTGGTCCTGCCCTGAGAGCCCCTTTCCCCAGGGGCCACCAAGAGACACTTGGTTCCAGCCAGGAACAGCCTTGTGCTCCCTGAGGATTGCCCTGACTCCCCAGGAAGCAGCAATGGAAAAGCCAGAGCTGTCATTCCCCCAGGGAAGGAGGAGGTGGTCTGGAGCACATGTGATGCTGGGGGAACTGGAGGACCAGCAGCACCGCCATGGGTAATTAAAAATATATTTACAGGAAACCACACGGGTTTTCCTGTCATGCACAGAGGTTCTGCTGCCTGCTCTGTCCCTGGAGCCCTGAACATCCATGGCAGAACCAGGACAGGCTCCCCCTGCCACTGCCACTGTCCTGAAAGTGTGTGAGCCACCATGGGGGCACAGTCAAAGCCACTGTAGGAAGGTCCTAGCTGGAGAGCAGATGGATGCTGAGTGTGCCCATGGCACTGCCCACCAAGCCTGGCTTGGCACTGGACTCCATCCCTGCTTCCTTCCACCTTGAAATGACTCCACAGCAGGATGCTGCAGCAGTTCCTGGTTGCTGCATGGCCACCAGCCTGGGCTCAGGATCTCCTGCAGCTGAGCAGGAAGGGGTTTAGCATCAGGGGGGTCCCTCCCAGGCCCACCTTGTGCCCACCTGCAGGGAAGCAGAGCTGTTTGGCCCTGCACAGAGGGGGCCTGGGCTGTGACCTGCTAAGGGTGAGTAGCCTGGGGGTGGCAGGCAGAGTGAACTGGGTCGAGTACCACGTGCCTTTTGCTCCATGTGGAGCTTGGCTCCATGGCTACCTCCTCCTGCCCTCCCCTGGCCCAGCCCCTGGGCTGCTCTGCCCCGTGGCCTCCCCTGGCTTGACTGGGCTCTGCCAGGGGACCAAACCACTGCCCTGAGCTCTGTCCCAGCCCAAGGCTGGCTGTGGGAGGGGGGAAGCTCTCCTTTGCTCAACAGATGGTTTTTTAATTAATACTCCTGTTTGTGCCACTCATTTCCATATGTCTTTCATGCTTAAGTGCTGTGGTGGGTGAGAGGTGTGAGTAACAGTGAGGATGGAGCCAGGCACGGTGGAGGTGCAGGGGGATGGCAGATCCTGCAGGATGAGCTGCACAGGGGAGGGTGTGCTGGGGGCAAAGCCCTGGGGACACAACCCCACATCAAGAGCCTTTATGGTGGAGTTTTCACCCCACCAGCCCCGGCTCTGGATGCCTGGGGTGGGTTTCCCAGGCAATGCTCTGTGTGGCAGCCCTGGTTTCGCCCAGGTGTGGCTGCATGGGGGTCAGTGCAGGGCTGAGCAGGGGTAGGAGTGGGTTTAGGGGGTTTTGGGTTCTTCAGGGGGGTTTGGGCTGAGGTGGCAGTGGAGGGAATTGCGGGGGGGGTTGTCCCAGATGCGAACGGGAGCAGGGGGGTGCAGAGGCAGGGCTGGCAAAGCCCAGGCGTGTGCGCAGGGGATGTTTAGGGCCTGCCGGCAGGCAGGGAGAGGAAATAGGGTCGGTCCCTTTAAGAGGATTTTTTCGCTGCCTGGCAGCGCTGCCCGCCCGGGCAGCCCATCCATCCATCCATCCATCCATCCTGCCGCCCATCCCGCTCCCCGCCCGGCAACACCGGGGACGGGGCTGGCGGAGAGGGGCACCCCCGAGCAGCGGGGGCTGCTGGCCACTGCGGGGCCGCTGCTAGCCACTGCGGGGGTGCAGCTAGCCACTGCGGGGCCGGGGCGACCCCCTGCCCGCCCCGCCCGCCCCGCCCCGCGGAGGATGGGGAGGAGACCCCGGCCGGGGACCCCGGGCAGCGCCCAGCGCGGCTGTCGCTGCTGAGAACCGCCCCCAGAGCCGAACCGAGCCCCCCGCCCAGCCCGGCCGGGCCCCCCGGACATCGCCCCTTTGTCTGCGGAGGAGGAGAAGGCGAGGCGGGGGCGCTGCGGGAGCGGAGCCGCCGCGCCCGCACCCTCCAGGTGAGGCTGCGGGAGAGCCGGGACCCCTCCCCGGGCGTGGTGGGGAGCAGGGGATGGAGGGGGCCGGCGGGGAGCGGGGATGGAGGGAAGGAAGAGCATCCTCGGCAAAGCCTTCCCGTCCCCACCCCGCGCCTCGGGGCTGGGCTAAGCCGCGCAGAGCCGCTTGCGGGGTTTAGCGCTCCGTGAACGCCCAGCCGGAGGAGTCAAGGTGAGCCCGAGGGCGCTCCGTGCCCGCTGCCCCCCCTGAACCCCGCGATCCCGCACCCCGCGGGTGCTGGGAACCCCCACCCCTCCTGCCCAGCTCTCCCTCCCCGGGGCTGGGCTGGCTCCCTCCAGCCCTGGAAGGGCTGTGCCCGCAGCGGGGGCTGGGCTGGCGGGGCTCTCCCGCAGCTCCCGGCCATCCCGCTGCCCCTCGCAGCTGCAGCCGCAGCGAGGCACTGCCCGCAGCCCCGGCTGGATGTAGGTTAGCGAGGCGGGGGGACGCTGGGCACAGCCCAGGCTCCCTTTCCTGCTGCTGCAGGGATCCCCGACCCCCTCCCAGGCTCTGAGACCCCCAGGTTAGTGCGTTCCCCACCCTGCCTGGCTCAGCATCCCCCAGCACTGCAGAGCCCCCAAGCCAAGCGCAGACACGAGGGGCTGGGCTGTGCTGCAGCCAGCTGAGGGAGGACTGCAGGCAGGAGAATTTTGGGCAGGTGTGGGGATCAGTGTCATGGCCCCAGTGAAGTGCTGGCCTGGTCTCTGAGGCTGTGGTGGAAAGAGCAAGGGAGGTGAAATGATGAGCTGAGGGAGGCAGAGAAGGTCTGGCACCAGTAGGGCCCCCTCCCTGTTCTATTAAGACTATCCCAGCAAGCCCACGAGGACCCTGGGCTGTGGTCTAGTGTATCCAGGATTGCTCCGCTCCAGGAGCCTGGGTGAGGCATGGCAGGCTTTGTCCAAGGAAACAGCTGGAACAGTCAGCTCACTTAGGATTTCATCTCTGTGTTCCCCTGGCCAGGCCAGGCCAGGCAGGGGCAGTTCCTGGTGAGCCCTTGGGGACATCCAGGCGTAGGGCAGAACATCAGCTCTCCCACCTCCTGTGCTGTGACAGACAGGACTGGGGCAGGGAGCCCAGCAGCCCCGGGGCTGGCAGAGCTGAGCACGCTGCCAGCTCTGCTGCCAGAGCCGGACCAGCCGCAGGAGGTGCATCAATTATTGACTGTGGAGCTGATCAGCTGCTCCTTGAGAGCCCCTCAGTGCGGAGGCTCGGCCGCCCTGTCCGGGTCCATCCTCCCAGCCAGATGTGGGTGCTGGACCCAGCTGGGCAGCGCACCCCAGGGCAGGGGGGGCAGTGAGGCCTGGAGCCAGCAGGGAAGGGTGAGAGGGGACTTGCTGTGGGCTGGTCCCTGCAGTCCCTGAGAGAGGCAGCCCGCTGCGAGCCGGTCCCTGTGCGCTTCCCACAGAGCAGCAGGATGGCGGAGAAGGGCATGGATCCCGCCTGCGTCTCCATCGCTCTGGAGGACACGGTGTGCCACGCCAGCCCCCCGGACGCCCCGCTCCTCACCACCCACTTGAAGAAGGTGGAGAACCACATCACGGAGGCCCAGAGGTTCTCCCACCTCCCGAAGCGCTCGGCCGTCAACATCGAGTTCATCGACCTGTCCTACTCCGTGCGGGAAGGATCCTGGTGGAGGAAGAGAGGTGGGAGCTGGCGGGTGGGGAAGGGCAGGGCAGGGACTCCTCGCTGCTGTTGTGCATGCCATGATCTCACCCTGCTCTGTCCGAGTGCCAGGGGCTGTTTGCAGCCCTGCTGTGTCTGGCTGTTGGCGCTGGGTGCCCGTGGGAGGAGGGAAGGCTCCTCGTCCCACAGCAGTTGCTGTGCAGTGCAGGAGGAAAGCACAGCGCATTCCAGGGAAACCTCTGGCCGGGGCTGCGTGGGGAGAGAGGTGGGGCAGAGATGCCAGGGCAGCCAGGGTGGATGGGTTTCCCCAGCACTGCTGTTTGGGGTGTCGTGGCTGTGTGGGCTGTGCTGGCAGCAGGGGAACCCAGGGGTGCCCCAGCTCAGAGCCTGGCAAGGAGAACGTGTGGTTTGCAGGGGATTTCCTCTCCAGTGGCTCCCTGTGCAGCTGAGGCCACGGTTCCCTTTGCTGTGTGTGACTCTGGCCGAGAGCTCAGGGAGGGGAGAGGGGAGGCAGATGGCGGCTGGTGGGTGGTAGTCTGCTTTAATTAGCGCTCTCAGTTAATGGGATGCCAATCAGGCAGCCCGATAAGATGGAGGGGGAGCTGATCTCCAGGAGCTGAAGGCAGGCAGGGATGAGCGAGGGCCGAGGTCACAGGGCTGCCCAGGGACGTGCCCTGCCAGCCAGGAGTGCTGGGTGGACCGCTAGCCAGGCTGTGCAGCTCAGGAAACTGAGGCACTGAGAGGTGTGGGGAGCAGCCCCAACATCCCACGGGATGCTGCCCACCTGTTTATTTGGGATGCTGAGGACACATCCCTGGGATGAGCTGTGGCACAACCATGGGTTGGCCAGGGCAGATTGTGCTGTAGCACCCGGGGAGGGTACTGGCTGCTTGCCTTGCAGGGAGGGATGGGGGGAAAAGCTGGGGAACCTGGACCCCATAGGAGATGCCGAGGGGTACAGGGCTCCCCAGTGGGAGGGTCCCTCTTCTCGGCCAGGCCAGGCAGAGCCGGAGGAGCCGGCGGGGGGGCTGGCGGTGCCTTTGTCCACAGCCCCCAGCTCCGGCTGCCCCGCTGTGCTGGGGAAGGAGGTTACTGGCAGTCAATGAACGCGAGTAACCGCTGCGCAAGCTGCAGTGGCGCCGACGTGAGCAGCATGCGCGGTGCGGGGCCGTGCGTGGTGCCAGGGGGGGCTGCCGGGCACGCTGGGCCCTGCTGCCACCCTGCACAGCCCCCTGCCCTCCCCTCGCTGCCCCTCTGCCAGCGGGACCCGCTGCCGCGGGCGGGGTGCCAGCTCCGAGGGGCGCAGAGGAGGAACTGGGGATGCTGGTGCTGGGTGCCCTGCCCAACACCCCCCTATCCTGGGGAGGGACGAGCCAGAGGGGCTCCCCACAGTGTGGTGGGCCCCTGGTGGGAGATGGATTTATTGCCCTTGTCCCACACCACCTGCCCCCGTGGGGCACGGAGGGGAGGACCCATTTCCATCGGGGAGATGCTCAAGCTCGGTCCGTGGTCCCAACACCCTGTATCCTGTATCCCATTGCTCTCCTGGCCAGGGCTGCGTTTTGGGGGCAGCTCCTGAGAGCCCGAGGCTGTGCTTGTTCCCTGCTCCCGACACATCATGTTCCTTCTGCCAGAAAATGCTAATCAGCCGCGTTTAAAGCGGAGATAATTCCAGGTCTGATTAGCAGTGGCTGCTGCCGGGCGGCACAGCGTGAATGCCAATGAAGGCAAGAGCCGGGCTTCCAGTGGGATTGGGGCCTCTGCCTGCCCCGTGCCTCTCCCCTGGCCCCAGGAATTGGCATCTGAAGACATGCCCAGGACTGATGTCACAGCCTGGTAATCTTCCTTAGCAGCTCTGTGACCTGACCTGAGGATTTCCCTGGTCTTTGCTGCGATCCAGATCATGAGCTTCTTCAGTGGTGGAAATCAGTGGGATCAGCCAAGGACCAGGGTCAGGGATCATGCTGGGGGTGATCCTGCTGTGGCCATAGCCCCAGGGACGCTGATGGAGACAGGCCCCAGGCACATGCAGCCCCTGGCACGGCACATGGAAACCCTGAGGTCCTCTAGGAAGTGGGATGGCATCTCATTCCCTATAGCCCTGCTGCCCCGTGAATCCACCCCCCTGCTGCTCTCTCCCTCCAGGGTACAAGACTCTCCTAAAATGCCTGTCGGGGAAGTTCTGCCAGCGGGAGCTCATCGGGATCATGGGCCCCTCGGGTGCCGGGAAGTCCACCCTCATGAACATCCTGGCTGGCTACAGGTGAGGCCGGGGAGGGCTGGGGGAGCAGGGCTGGGGGGTCCCACGCTGCACTCCCTCACACCCATTTCCCTGCAGGGAGACCGGCATGAAGGGGCAGATCCTGGTGAACGGGCGGCCGCGGGACCTGCGCACCTTCCGCAAGATGTCCTGCTACATCATGCAGGACGACATGCTGCTGCCACACCTCACCGTGCTCGAGGCCATGATGGTGAGCCAGGACAGGCAGCAGCCTGCTGGGCTCTGTGGGCACCCCTGGGCTGTGTCCTCGGGCTCTGAGCCCATCAGGCATTTCCCAGGGCTCTCTGGGATGCGGGAACAGAATCCTGCTGTTCTTGCTGCCTTTGCCCCCAGGCGCTCGTGGCTGGGCAGGGCTGGGGCCACAGTGCTGCTGGGTCTGTGCCCTGCATCTGACAGTTGTGTCTCCCTGCCCCTCTTCTCCCTGCAGGTCTCTGCTAACCTGAAGCTGAGCGAGAAGCAGGAGGTGAAGAAGGAGCTGGTAGGTGCAGAGGAGGATGGGTCCAGACCCCCTCACCTCTCCCCAGGGTGGAGACAGCAGGTCCCTGAGGGGCTCCCAGCGATGGGAGGTGGCAGGGATGGGATGAAAGTCCATGAAAGCCTCATTCACCATGGGCTGTCTCACAGGTGAATGAGATCCTGACGGCCCTGGGGCTGCTGGAGTGCTCGTACACCCGCACCATCTCCCTGTCGGGGGGGCAGCGCAAGCGCCTGGCCATCGCCCTGGAGCTGGTCAACAACCCCCCCGTCATGTTCTTTGATGAGCCCACGAGGTGAGGACACGGGGGCTGGGGCTGATGCTGCTCTCCATCGATCTGCAAGGAGGGTGCCTACAAGCAGGGGCATCTTTAGCATGTACTTCTCCTCCTCTCAACTCTGCCCTTCTCTCTCTCTGCTCTTCCCTCTCTGCCCCTTCCTGCATGGCCACAGCGGCCTGGACAGTGCCTCCTGCTTCCAGGTGGTGTCCCTGATGCGGTCCCTGGCTCAGGGCGGGCGCACCATCATCTGCACCATCCACCAGCCCAGCGCCAAGCTCTTTGAGATGTTCGACAAGGTTTGGGCTGGGATGGGGCACAGGGACCTTCAGGGGGTCCCTCTGGCCCTAAGGGCCAGGAGAGAGGCCATGGGAGGGGGGGGCTGCAGGCATTTGGCCTGGGGTTTGTGTAGCACACGGGGGTCTGGCAAGGGCGCCCCGTGGCACCCCAGGGCAGGGAGGTGGGTGGGAGCAGGCGACAGTGCCCTGGCTGCTCTTCACCTGCCACACTCCCGGCTTCCCTTGCAGCTGTACATCCTGAGCCAGGGCCAGTGCATCTTCAAAGGCGTCGTGACCAACCTCATCCCCTACCTGAAGGGTCTCGGCCTCCACTGCCCCACATACCACAACCCCGCTGACTTCAGTGAGTGTCCCTCCCCCAGCTGGGGCTGCCGAGGGGGGAAGGTCCAAACCCAGAGCCCAAGCCTGGGGAGCTTCCCACTCTTCCTCCAGGGGAGATGCCTGTACCCTTCCCATCAGGCGCTGACTGGGGAAGTGGTGGCAAGGGCTGGCTCAGCACCTCTCAGGGGTCCTGTCTCCCCACACACAGTTATCGAGGTGGCCTCGGGAGAGTACGGGGACCTCAACCCCGTCCTGTTCCGCGCCGTCCAGAATGGCATGTGCACCATGGCTGAGAAGAAGAGCAGCCCTGACAAGGCAGATTCATCGTGCCCAGCCCACTGTGGGACGGTGAGTGGGGTCAGAGGAGCCTCCTGCAGGGGCCCACCCAGGGTGCTGTCCCAGCAGGGACCCCGTGCTGTCAACCTGACCCACATCCCTGACTCGCCCGTGGCCTTGCAGGACGTGGATCACATCGAGAGCCACACGTTTGCCACCAGCACTTCAACCCAGTTCTGCATCCTCTTCAAGAGAACCTTCATCTGCATCCTGAGGGACACGGTGAGGGCAGAGGAGGCTGCGACAGGGCTCGGGGAATGGGGTCTATTGGCCACCTGGGGCTGGCACAGGTGGGGATTTAAATGGGGGCTGGAGGGGGCTCAGCCTGTGCCCTCTCTGCCTGCAGGTGCTGACCCACCTGAGGTTCATGTCCCACATCTGCATCGGGGTCCTCATCGGGCTGCTCTACCTGCACATCGGCAACGACGCGGGCAAGGTCTTCAACAACACTGGCTTCCTCTTCTTCTCCATGCTCTTCCTCATGTTTGCTGCCCTGATGCCCACCATCCTCACCTGTAAGCAGCTCCTGCCCCATGACACCCAGCCCTGCTCCCAGCCCTTGGAGTGCTGGGCAGCGTGGGGGGCAGCCAGATGACTTGGGCAAGACAGGGGGAAAAAAAAGACAGGAGAGGGGGGGAAAATACCGAACAAAGAGAAGGGGAGGAAAATTCTGCTCATTTGCATTGCAGTTTTGCCCCCCGTTTGGCTGTGATGTACTTCTGGATTCAAAGCAGAATGCTGGATTATTTTTTTTTCCTCTGATAAACTGTCTGCAGAGCTGCATTTTCAGCCACTTTAACTCTCTTTCACTTCCTCAAAAAGTTTGCCTAAAAGCCCCCAGCCAAGCTGACCTTTCCACGAGGAAAGTTCCCAAATCAGTGTCTGATTTTTTATTATTTTTTCCCCCCGATGAAGATTTGGGCAGAGGCAGGAGGTTACCTGGAGCTCTGTGCTGGGGCAGCATCACCCCTGCCTGCACCAGGACGGGTGGGAGTGGGGCTGGAGCCCCCAGGACACTGCTGGCTGCTAACTCCTTGTTCCCACACAGTCCCCCAGGAGATGACTGTGTTCCTGAGAGAGCACTTGAACTACTGGTACAGCCTGAAAGCCTATTACCTGGCAAAGACCATGGCAGATGTGCCCTTCCAGGTGAGGCTTCGACTGGACTCAATCCCAACCCTGACGCTGCTGTGCCCTCCCTGGCACAGCCGCCTGCTCAGTGCCCCAGGCTGGGCTTTGCGGGGTCCCCGGGAGGGGTGTGTGGGGTGAGCGTGGCCGTGGGCCCAGCAGGGTGTTCTCTGTGCCCCTGTGCAGGTGATCTGCCCCATTGCCTACTGCAGCATCGTGTACTGGATGACGGGCCAGCCCCCCGAGGCCACGCGCTTCCTGCTCTTCTCCGCCCTGGCCACCGCCACGGCCCTGGTGGCCCAGTCCCTGGGGCTCCTCATCGGAGCTGCTTCCACCTCCCTGCAGGTCAGACGGGGCTGTGCCTGCCTCAAGGAGAACTTGGAAGGGGTTCCATGGCAATCTGGGGGTGGAGGGGAGTGGTTCACCCCGCGGACAAGGATGTGACACCCAGCGTATGCTCCCCAGGTGGCCACCTTTGTGGGGCCCGTCACTGCCATCCCCGTCCTGCTCTTCTCGGGCTTCTTTGTCAGCTTCAAGACCATCCCCACCTACCTGCAGTGGAGCTCCTACGTCTCCTATGTCAGGTGGGACCCCGTGCTCTGGCCAGAGCTCCCTGTCCTGGGCTCCTGTGGGGCCTGGGGTGACTCTGCCGGGTGTGCTCTGCCCTAGGTACGGCTTCGAGGGCGTCATCCTCACCATCTACGCCATGGAGCGCGAGGACCTGGAGTGCCTCGAGGACTTCTGCCCTTTCCAGAAGCCCATCAAGATCCTGCAGGAGCTGGACGTGGAGGAGGCCAAGCTCTACCTGGACTTCCTCATCCTGGGCATCTTCTTCGTCATCCTGCGGCTCCTGGCTTACCTGGTCCTCAGGTACAAAGTCAAGTCAGAGAGATAAAGGGGCCCCCACGGCCATTCCCGGGCCTGGCCTGCTGTGAGGGACCTCCTGCAGATGGACACGGTGCTCCTGGCAGGCCACAGACCGTGGCGGAGGCACCAGTGGGTGCCAGCCGGGCCTGGCTCAGTCGAGAAGGGTTTTGAGACGTCTCGGAACTGTTTTAACCTTTCCACACACACTCTTCATTGCAAAACGTTTTGTACAGCCCTGGCACGTGCCACCCTCTCCCTGTCCCGGGACTGCAGAGCCCCACGGAGGAGGTCGGGTCCCCTCTTGTCGGCCCTGGGACATGGGGGACGCTCGTGAGGAGGTGGCTGCGTGCCCAGCAAGGCAGGGGGAGCAGCAGCACCCTGGGGCTGGAGCTGGGAGGAGACAGCAGCACATGGAGCCCCACTCCTCGTCCTGGCTGGCACCACGTGAGTCAGTGCTGAGAAGAGCCCAAAGATGCAATAGGCCAAGTTGCACAAGGCTTTAGTGTTTCCTGTTGCTGCATCTCCTTCTTCTTTCAGCACAAATCTTCCCTCTAATTTTTTTTTTTTTTAATTTTTCCTTCTTCCTTTTTTTTTTTTTTTTTTCTCACAAGTCCCACTGCACCCCAGAGGGGAAAGGGAGCCAGCAGGCAGAGAAGGACTTGGGGCTCTGTCTCAGACTTCTGCTCTTGGTGCCGGGGCAGGGTCTGTGGGAGCAGGACAGTAATCTCAGACCTTAGGGAGTCTCATTTTCAGTCCCTGTTGTCTTTGGGGTCTGAGACAGGAGGGTCTGACCCAAATCAACCAACGGGGAGAGAAGTGACTGGTCTCTTTGAGTGCTTGCATGGAGCAAGGAGGATTTAGGTTCCCACACCCTGCCAGTGCCAGGAGGCTGGAAAGCAGGGCTGGACTCGGCTATGCTGTCACTGGAGCCTCCACTGCAGGAGAAGAGCTGGCCCTGAGCCCTTCCCTTGCAACCTCTCTTCTCCCAGCACGACTGTGGCTGTCTCAGCAGGACAGGGCAGAAGAGCCTCGCTCAGCGCTGGCTGTGCAAGGAGGGGATGGCAGGGACACCCAGCCTTGTCACAGTGCCAGCCTCCCTCCCAGGGTGACACTGTGCAGAAGGGAGTCCCAGCAGTGCCCCCGCTGGAAACCAGGAGAGCTCTCAGAGCGGTTTGTTTGCAGTGGGTGTGACCTGGACGCTGGGAAGGGCTCTGCACCTTGTGACTGGTATCAGGAAAACGTCCCTCTTGGCAAGTGTCTCCTCCAAGGTCGCCTGGCTCTGCACACACCTTGCAGAGGGAAGGCAGTTCAGGGCACCCTGCTGGCTCTCCAAAGGAACTGAGCTGAGCCCGGAGCTGGTGGGACATGCTGCTGTGCTGGGAACACCACATGCTGCTTCGCTGCCCAGCACAGGCTCCCTGTGTGCTGGCACTGGTGGCACTGGGTTGCACTGGTCACCCATGCACATGGGAACCCCCTGGTTTTCAGATGGGGAAGGCGGCTCTGCCCCACCCTGGCACGCTGGCCCTGGTTCAAGGGCAGCCTGGGAGATGCTGCTGCTGGCACTCTGAGCAGCCAGGGATTGCAAGGGCAAGTGCCAGACTTCAGCAAAGTCCTGCAGGCTGATCTTTGATTTCACTGGCTCGTGTTGGGACTGCACAGCAAGGTCTGGCTGGCCTGGCACAGGTGCTGGGCACTCAGCAGAGCCGAGTGTGCCTGCAGAGATGGCTGCGAGGGGTGTTTGGCCCCAGGGCTGTCCTGCACAGAGGGTCTGCAAGCAGGACATACCCTGGCACCCTTTCCATGCTGGGTATTGGGGTCTTCCACAGGGGCTGTTGTCTTGACTTATCACTATCCCTCACAAAATTCCCCTCTGGGAATTCCTCCTGCATCCTCCTTCACTGCCAGCCCCGTGCCACGCTCTGCATGGAGCTGTGCCAGCTGGGGGTCTGCAGTTTCCTGGGCATAACCACAGCCCCAGGGGCACAGTGGAGGGGGAATGGTCCCTGTGTCTGCTCTGCCACGAGGTGGATGGATGGGCAGGGAGCCAGGGGGCTGGTGGGGCTGTGGGCTATCACCCTTCTCCACCTCCCTGTCTGTGGAGCTGATGGGACTGATGCCCTGCTTCTGTCCTGCTCCCTGGCATTCGGGTCCCACTTCCCGCACACTGGAGGCACTGCCGTCCCCAGCACTCTGTCCTGCTGCTTCCTGCGCCCAGAAGGTACCACCTGGACACCCCTGTGCCATCACTGCTGCTCCCAGGAGGACCAGGACAAGATGGGTAGTGATGGAGTGGAGCAAAGGGGCTGCCAGCAGGCACCTGTGACTGCGACTGCCCGTGTCCCTCACACCCCCAGGGATGCTCAACACAAGGCTTTGGGACAGTCTGGCTGAGCTCAGAAGAAGACTGCTGGGGCAGACAGCTCCTCAGGCGGCTGCTGGGACCAGCCTGTCCGGGATGGGGTAGCTGGAGCATCCCCAGGATGTCCAGGAGAGCTCAGCACAGCCTGGGCCTCCTGCACGGGTGAGTCACGGTGTCCCAGCCGAGCAGGTACAGGGCCACTGCGGGACAGAGGGCCAGGACAAGCCCTGGAGCTGGAGCATGGCTGTGTCCCTGGGCTTGGCAAGGGCACTGGGGAATGGGGGTGATGGGGCAGGCACCCCTCATCCCCAGGGCAGCAGGAGGCTCGTGGAGGTGTTGATATGAAGGGGCTGTGATTAGCGAGGGATCTGGGCACCCTCAGTGCTGCCTGAGGAGTGAACTGAGCAAACTGAGCCATGGCCCCTTCCCTCCCTGCAAGGACAATCCCAGAGGTGGTGGAAGGCACAGGGAAATGCAAAGGGAAGAAGCAAAGTTTGCACTGAGCCCCCAGGCTGGCGTGGCTGGGCCGAGCACCTGGGGTTTATTGCCCCTCTGCTGCCCGGGTGGTCCCTCCCTGCAGGAGCAGGGCAAGGGGGGTTGTCTCTGTCCTGGCATGGCAGAGGGAGGGAGTACAGCCATCCTGCTCAAGGGGGCCCTCGGAGGAGCAGCAAGGATGCACTTTATTAGAGCAGGGAAGCAGCTCCATGGGTGCTCCAGGCGGCAGGAATCCCACGGGAGAACGCATCCGGATAATCACGAGGAGTGTGATGGAGGAGAGCAGGCTTCTCCCCCCTCACCTCCTCTCCTCTCCTGCTCCTGCCTTCCCTTATGATGCACTTTGAGTGGACAAGGATGGGGTTTAGGCTGTGGCTCCAGCTCCCAAAAACTGCTTCAGCCCCTTCAGCCCCCAGGCACGGTTGCACCAGGTTCTGCCCCTCAGGGGTGCTGGGAATGCAGGCAGGGCAGGCAGGGGGATGCCACTCACCTCCATGCATGGCCAGCCCACCTTTGCCACACGCACAAGAAGAGCAAATGCATCATCACCCGCCTGGGGCTTGCTGGAGGAGAGACTGGGCTAGAACAGGGAGGAGATGGGGCTTCTCCCAGGGTTTCACCCCTCTCCCAAATCAGGCAATAAAACAGTGTTTCCTTCTCACTGTGTGTGGACACCATTTGTCCTGCCCCTCTGCCACGGGCAGCCCTGGGATCTCTGAGTGTGTCCTTCCCCCTGTGGTTTTCCAGCCCTCACCCTGTCCACCCGTGCAGTGGGGGCTGCACAGTGGGGTGCACGTGAGGTGCAGGGCTGGGGGGAGCAGGCAGAGAGGTGCAGCCATCGAACCCCCCCTTTCCACACGACCACAGGTGTGAGCTGCGCTTCCCCTGGGACAGTTTGCCAAAATAAGGTGCAGGTAACACCTCCAAGGCTGAGGGAGGGTATCTCTGTCGTGGTAGCTGGCCTGGGTGGCGTTTGCCTGGGTCCTTCTGCCTCGCTGGCAGGAGGCTGAGAAGCAGCACCAGGGCACTGCTGCCCACAGCTGCAGCCTGGCAGGAACCAGGCAGGGTGGAGGGGAGGCCCTGGGCCCTTCAGGCTGGGCTGCACACGCAGGTAAGTGCCCCGCAGGGACGGGGTGCCAGGTCCCAGCTCGCTGCTGGCACTCACGGGCGCCCAGAGGGTCCCAGGAGCTGTTGGGGCAGGAGGAGACGCTGGGGTCTATGTCGGTGTTTCTGAGATGCCAGCTGTACTCGTTGGATTTCACACATCAATAAAACCTATATTTATAGTGTACTGCCTGTGTGTCTCATGCTCCTGAGCACCTCAAGGGGACACACGTGAGGGGAGGTGTGAGTGCCCAGGTACAGGGGCTGGGGGGCAGTGTCTGGGCATTTGGGGTGTGACCACTGTTGCCCAGGTGTGACCACTCTGTCCCAGCACCCCTGTGGCTGCTGGGGAGGGCCGGCACTTGCCAGGTCAGCACCCAGGGATTAGGCAGGGTGCATGTGGCAGCACTGACACAGCTGTCCCTCGTCTCAGCACCACCACAGCTGATCAGCAAGCAGCGAGAGGGCAGGTAGAAATGTCTCTGCGTGTGTTACACAGCCGGGTAAGAGCAGCTTGCATTGTGGTCCAGCTTCCTCCAGCTCCTTTTCCTGGTGGGAATGCTGTTTCGTTCCCTGCTCCCTCTCTGCCTGTGAGAGGGCGGCAGCTGAGCGGGGATTTGCTCTGGAGCAGAACCCATCCTCGCAGGCTGCAGTTGCACCGCCGGGACGCAGCTGGGGATGCAGAGCCGCCAGATGTGCGCGGGGGAACTGCACATCTGGTAAGAGCCAAGCCCCCCCACGCCGTGCGCGCCCGCGCTCGGGGTGCAGGCGCCTTCCCTGGCCGCGGTGCCTCGGGCCGCTCTGCCGTCCTGCCCGGGCAGCTTGGCAGGCGCCCCGCGTGGGGCGGGACGGGGCAGGGATGGCGTTGCAGGAAGTTCTTGCCGCGGAACAGCCGCCCCCGCGGCGGAGCCTCCCGCCGGGACGGGCATGGAGCGAGGCGGGTGAGCGGCACCGGGGCCGCGCTCCGTGAGCACGGGGAGCCAAGGCATCCTGCCGGAGCTGCGCCAGCGCTGGAGGTAACCCGGAGATGATTTCGAGCCGTGCTTGGCACCGGCTCCACCACTGCCCCGGGCTCCGTGTCCCTGCCCCGCCGCGGCCGCCGTGGGCACTGGGGCAGGGGGAGGGAGGGCACGGGGAGCGGGGCTTGGTGGGCCGGGCGTGGCACTGGGGTCCCCTAAAAAGGGTCCGCGAAGAGGGGGAAGCGTGGGGGCCCTCTGCTCGGCAGAGAGGGCTGGGAGCTGGGCACAGGACACTCCGGGCTGTGCTGGCTGCAAAGGCATCGAGACCAGGACATCCCGGTTCAAGGTCAGCCCCCGAGCTGCCCCTGCCCCCGTGCCTTAGTTTCTCCTTCTGGATGCACTCTAAAAAGCCCGGGCTGTGCCAAGCCGCGGCTGTTCGTGTCCCTTCCTACCTGCTGGGGTTTGCTTACGCCCTCTCCCCCACCCCCCCACAGCTGTGCCTCAGTTTCCCAGGATGTTGTGGGCTGTGAGCACATCCCGTGCTCCCGAAGGATCACCCTGCTGAGCCGGGGCGGGAGCTGAGTCAGCAGCAGCACAGCCGGTTCTGCCGGACTGGACCGTACTGGGGCAGGCGAGGCTGGGCAGGGCCGTGCTGCACCACAGCCCCACCGCCCCATCCTGCTCTGCCCCACGTGGGACAGCTGCTGAGCACCCCAGAGCCCCTCACCCACCCGTGGGCACCCCCTCTCTTTCAGGTGAGGATGTCCCGGGCCATGCGGTGCCAGAGCTGCCTGCCCTGGGGCAGCTGGGTGCAGAGATCCCTGTCGGGGGGCAGAGGCACCCGGGCTGTGCATGTGTGTGCTGCTTCATTGCCAGGTGAGCTGGGCTCTGTGCCTGTGGGACTGTGCCCTTGGCTCTGTCCTGCTCCCAGTGACATCCCTCCCCAGCTCTGCAGTCTGTGGGGCACCCCAGCAAGGTGTGAAGCCTTTGGGCTGGGTGGGGTCAGTGCTCCTGGGCTGGAGAAGTCCATCCCTGACTCTGTGTGTTCTTCTTCCCCCTCAGGCACAGCAGGCAGCTGCTTCCTCAGGAAGATTCTTCGTGCAAGCAGCATCTCCCTCCACAGGTACAGTGCCACACAGCTGGGTCCCTGTTTGCCACAGGGCCGAGGTGGCTGCCTGGGGACCAGCAGGGCTCTGTGGGCACAGATGCCGCTTTGCTTGCCACCTAGAAAACTACCCATACCCATCTCCCTGCCTGCTCTGCCTCCAGCCCAACTCCTGTGCCTCGCTGTGGGTTTGCTGGGGATGCACAGCACGTGCCTTGCTGACCTGCCCTCGGTTCCCAGCCGTGCCCTTGCCCTGGCCCTGCGCTCTCCCTTGGTGTGGGGGAAGGAAGGGGTGAGCTGGCTCCACTCAGCACTTCCCACGGCACTCACCTGTGGTCTGCCCACCCTGCCCCAGGCAGGGCTTGGAGCTGCTGGCCCTGCCCTCCTCGTGACACTCTCCGTCCTCTTGCAGGGGCTATGTTGGCTACCAGGAAGGCTCTGGGGAGAATCCTGTCCCCCTCAGCTCCTCTCGCCACAGTCATTCCCAGCTGAGGAACGTGGCCTCTTCAGGTAAGCTTGCAGCCCTGCCCTGGGTGGAGGGTCCTGCACAGCAGGCTGGGGGCAGCTGCTGCCCTGGGCAGTGTGAGGGTCAGCAAGAGCTGGGTGCTGTCCCCTCACTGCAGCCACCTTGTTGCAGTGGTCTGGGGTAAGCACCTTCTCCAGCCCCCTGCCCTTTTTTAAGCACCCTCCTCTTCCCAGGTGCCATCAAGAAGCACCAGAAGAGCCTGTCTGCGTGGTTCAGCCACCAGCCCAACGAGGAGCGGCAGTTCGGCCCTTCCTTCTCTCTGGATGCCGTCCACGTGGACCCAGTGATCCGGGAGAGCTCCCTGGAGGAGATCCTGAAACCCTCCCCTGACCTGACCATCCAGGAGCAGCTCCAGCAGCCCTGCAGGCAGGTCATCAGCCTCCACAACCTCTTCGACGCGGACGCCTGCGGGCGGCCGGTGAAGAACGTGGTGCTGTACGGCACCGTGGGCACGGGCAAGAGCACCCTCATCAAGAAGATGGTGGTGGACTGGTGCCACGGCCGCCTGCCCCGCTTCGAGCTGGTCATCCCCTTCTCCTGCGAGGACCTGTCCCACAGCCACGCCCCCATCTCCCTGCGCCGCCTCATAACCAAGAAATACCAGCACCTCCGGGACGTGGTGCCCGTGCTGGGGGCTGCCAACCTCAAGGTGCTCTTCATCCTCAACGGCCTGGAGCGCCTCAACCTGGATTTCCGCCTGGCTGGCACGGAGCTGTGCTGTGACCCCAACGAGCCCGTGCCTCCCTCTGCCATCGTGGTCAACCTGCTGAGAAAATACCTCCTGCCCGAGGTCAGTGTCTCCCCCCAGCTCCTTTGTGCTGGAGAGAAGCTGGGTGTGGGCCCTGAGGCATCAGAGGCAGGGCTGTTGGGGTGATCACTTGTGGTGCAGCTTGGCTGGGAGCAAAGACGGAGGGGAGGGACTCACCAGGGTGGCCTCACATCACTGTTTCTGGGTGGTCTCTGTGGGAACTTCGGGGGGCCTGGCGAGGCAGTGAAGGCAGTCTGCTGTGCTGTGGTCTTCCAGACTCCACGTTGTGTCTAGCAGGGGATGGGGATAATTCTTGTGGCCCCTCCAGGCTCAGCCAGCCCTCTGATTGCAGGCCAGCATCATCGTCACCACGCGCCCGTCGGCCGTGCGCCGCATCCCCGCCAAGTACGTGGGGCGCTACGCCGAGATCTGTGGCTTCTCCGACACCAACCTGCAGAAGCTCTACTTCCAGATGCGCCTCAGCCAGCCCGGCTGCAGCGGGGAGGGCAGCAGGGCCGGCAGCTCGGCCGAGCAGGAGAACCTGGTGGAGATGCTGTCCAGGAACTTGGAGCGCCACAACCAAATAACGGCCGCCTGCTTCCTGCCCTCCTACTGCTGGCTGGTGTGCACCACGCTGCACTTCCTCTACTTCACCAGGACCGTGCCTCCCACCCAGACCCTCACTGGCATCTACACCAGCTTCCTGAGGCTCAACTTCAGCGGGGAGGTGCTGGACAGCACCGACCCCACCAACATCTCCATGATGAAGTACGTGGCCAAGACAGTGGGCAAGCTGGCCTACGAGGGGGTGATGTCCCGCAGGACGTGCTTCTCAGAGGACGACCTGCAGCAGTGCTTTGAGGTGGAGATGAAGACCGAGAGCGAGCTCAACCTCCTGGAGGTTTTCCGCAGCGACGTCTTCCGCTTCTTCCTCAGCCCGTGCGTGCAGCCGGGCAAGGAGCACACCTTCGTGTTCACCATCCCCGCCATGCAGGAGTACCTGGCGGCCCTCTACGTGGTGCTGGGCGAGAAGAAGACCCTGGCGCAGAGGGTGGGCAAGGAGCTGTCGGAGGTCATCGGGAGGGTGAGCGAGGACGTGGCCGTGGTGGTGAATATCATCTCCAAGGTGCTGCCCCTGCGCTTCCTGCCCGTGCTCTTCAACCTGCTCAAGATCTTCCCCCGCTACTTCTCCCGGCTGAGCGGGAAGGAGCGGGACGCCATCGCCCACACCATGGCAGAGGAGCTGTTCAAGGAGGAGGACTACTACAACGATGATGTCCTGGACCAGATCAACTCCAGCATCCTGGGCGTGGAGGGCCCCATGCGCCACCCCGACGAGGCCCCCGACGACGAGGTCTTTGAGCTGTTCCCCATCTTCATGGGCGGGATCCTGTCCCGCCGGAACCGCGCCATCCTGGAGCAGCTGGGCTGCTCCATCAAGAACCTGGCGGCCTTCGAGATCGCCAAGGCCATGAAGAAGACGGTCATCAGGAAGAGCCACAAGGGGCTGCCCCCCTCGGAGCTGATGGACTACCTGTTCTTCCTGCACGAGTTCCAGAACGAGCGCTTCACGGCCGAGGCCGTGCGCTCCCTCCGCGCCGTCAACCTCGCCTCCGTCAAGATGACCCCCCTCAAGTGCTCTGTGCTGGCCTCAGTCATGGGCACCACGTCCCACGAGGTGGAGGAGCTCAACCTGACCTCCTGCAACCTGGACAGCAGCAGCTTGAGGACCCTCTTCCCTGTCCTGCTGCGATGCAAGGCTCTCCAGTGAGTAGCACCTTGTCCTGCCCTTGGGCAGTGCCCAAAAACTGGGCTCTCCCTCAGCTCTGCCCATCACAGGGATGCACTGGGAGCCCAGGCATGGAAAAAGTAGGGCAGGGCGTGCCTGCCCTTGTTTATCTTCAGCACAGACCCAGGGAACTACAGCTTCCAACATGCAGCACTCCCTGAGCAGCCTTGCTAGGGCACAGCATGCTGGGATTTGCAGTCCCAGCACACCCTCCCGCAGGAATTTTTGGGCAGCTCCCAGCAGCTGGTACGGGCTGTGCTGCCAGCTGCCCTGGCAGATCCGAGCCCTTCCCTGGAACCACCCGTCATCCCCGCGTGCTGCTGCCTCTGGGAGGAGCTGGGCATCCCAAAGGCGGGAGTGTGAGCCGTGCAGGTGTTTCCACAGTTGTTCCAGAACGTTTGTGGAGCTGCAGGTCTTCCTGCCGCCCAGGTGGTGGCGAGACGCGCTCAGCAGAGTTGGACGGGGCTCTGCAGCTGGGCTGTGCCTCACTTCCTTCCTCCAGATGCTCAGGAGGGCTTGGAGGAGTCCTGATCCCTCCTCAGACCTTCACCCACCCTGAAGACCCCGCACCCCCTTCCCCTCCCCTGCTCCTGCTGGCTCTGGCTCCGCTGGCCCATGCTGCGCTGTGGGATCAGCGTGCTCCCTTTGGGAGAGGAAACCTTGCTTGGCCTGGTTTGGGGAGCCCAAGTAGGGCAGTGATGGGGAGGGCTGGGGGAGATGGAGAGGGCAGGGCTGCCAGGCCCACAGGCATCGGCCATTTGGGTCCTGCCATCCCCGTGTCTTGCTCTGCCCCAGCCTGCAGCTCAACAGCCTGGGCCCCGATGCCTGCCAGGAGATCCGTGACCTGCTCCTGCACGACAAGTGCGTGGTGAGCAGCCTGCGGTGAGTACTGCCCCCCCTGTCCCCGCATGGCTCTGTCCCCTCTGCCCACCACGAGGCATTCCCCGTGCCCCCCTCCGTGTCCACAGGCTGGCCAACAACCCCGTGGGCGAGCAGGGGGCTCAGTTCCTGGCCGAGGCGCTGGCGGGGAACCGCTCTCTGACGCAGCTGTCCCTGCTGCACACGGCGCTGGGCGACGGCGGCGCCGAGGCCATCGCCCGGCACCTGGCCCAGAACCGGCACCTGCGGGAGCTCAACCTGGGCTACAACTCCCTGACGGACGCGGCCGCCCTGCGCGTGGTGGAGGTGGCCAAGAAGCACGAGGCGCTGGACAAAGTGCAGTGAGTTCGCTCCGTTCCCTCCCTATTCCCTTCTGCTGGCGGTGCCTGCGCCCCTGTCCTGCCCCTGTGCTGCCCCACAGCCCTCACAGCGCCTCCCTCTGTGCTCCCCCACAACCCTGACGGCGCCTCCCCCTCCCAGCCTGTACTTCAACGACATCAGCGAGGACGGCAAGCAGGCGCTGCACAGCCTGCGCATGGACCGCGACGGCGTCAGGGCTCTGGTGTTCCTCACGGCGGGCACCGACGTCTCCGACTACTGGTCCCACATCCTGAGCGTGGTGCAGAGGAACCTGCCCTTCTGGGACCGGGACAGGGTGAGGCAGCACCTCGCCCTCCTCCTGCGGGACCTGGAGAGCAGCCGCAGCCAGACCGCCAACCCCTGGAGGAAGGCCAAGTTCCTGCGGGTGGAGAGCGAGGTCAAGAAGATGCTGGGGAAGCTGCAGGACGGGACCCTCTGAGCTGCTGCCCCCCATTCCCCAGCCAGGCAGGGAGCGGTGGAGGGTGTGCCCCAGCCCCCTGTGCGCCCTGATCCACATGGAGATACTCGGTGGATGGGTGCTGTCCAAGATGCTGGGTATGTGGGGCTCAGCCCTCAAGGCTACAGTGTGGGAATGGGACAGAGACCGGGCCAGGAGCAAACGGGACTTGTTCTTCTGGGCTCGTGGAGACCCAGCCCCTGCAGCCCGGCCACAGCAGTGGCAGAGGGCGGGGCTCAGGATTGTTTGTGAATCCTTAGGGAGCATTAAAGTGCACCACTTTGTTTCCAAGACTCAATCTCCTCTGCAGGCTCTTCCTGGGGAGGAATGTGGGAGCTGCTGGTGCAGCTGCCCCTCCAGCAGGTGGAGTGGAGGGCTCTGCCCCTTCTCCATCTCCCAGGGTGGGCACGGAGCCACCCACTTTTTGTGCCTGATCAGCTGGTCTTCCCCACTGCGTGTTCCTCTGGAAGGCAGGACACCAGGAGCTGGGTGTCCCAGGGGGCTGGTCCCTGCTCCAGCCCGGGCTGGCAGTGCCCTGGGGTTGGGAGGGCAGGGGAGACGTCGGGGCTGTTTAACCATTAAACCTGGGGCGTCTTGGGAGAGGCGGGGACGCTTCCCTGCCACTTCACCCTGTACCTTGCTCCCTCCTGCGTTCCCTGCAGCCATGAAGCAAACAGAAGGTACGTGCTGGGGGAGTGGGGCTGCATCCTGGGGAGACCCTTCCCCACCCTCCTGTCTCCAGGCCCTGCTTCCACACCGAGCAAGAGGATATCCAAGGCTGGGTGGGCCATGGGAAGGAGCTGAAGGCAGGAAAATGCAGATGGACGTTGTGGGGATGCTGGGGAGGAATCCTTTCTCCCTGGTTTTGGGGTTCTTTGTGCTGGAGGAGGTGGGGAGGGCTTTTATGGGGAGGTGTGCCAGGGAAGGCCTCTGTCTCCATCTCCTGGTGACCCTTCTCATCCTCACTCAGCCCTGTTAAACCCCTAGGACTGGGCTCCATCTGCCTGGCCCTGCTTTGCCCCCCAGGATCCTGCTGGGCTGGGCAGTGAGTGCCCTTAGGATCTGGGAATGCAAGAGGACAGTGGTGGTGGGGGCAAGGGACGAGGCTGTGCCAGGGAACAGAGGGGCTTGGGGGGCTGTGTGGGCTTGGCAAACCCCCTCACCTGGCATGGCAGGCTCAGCCTGTGAAGGGACAAGCCCTGAGCGTCCCAGAGCATGGGGTCTGCTCCCAGCCCAGCCCCTCCTGCGCTGACCTCTCCTCTCCCTCTGCAGGGCTCGGGGACAAGACATCCATCATGTAAGTCCTGAGCTCCCCTTGGCCAGGGGGCTTTCTGGGGCTGGGCACATCTCAGCTGAGGTGGGGTGGGTCACGGCTGCCCTGCCTCAGCAAGCTCCTCCCTGAGTTGTTGGCTCAGGAAAGATGTGGAGAGTGATCCAAGAGGGAGATCTCCTCCTGGCTTTCCCCAGGGAAGAGGAGCTGTGGCTCAGCTGACCCTTTCCTGGGAGGAACAGGCCCCCCAAAGCTGGGGAAGGCAGGGGGAGGCCACGATGCTGCACTAACCCTGGCCTCTCCTGCCCCTTTATCATTTCAGAAAATTTGAATTTAACCCCAAAGATGGGATCGACAACCCTGCCCTGACACTGACTGAGGACACGGGTAAATAAACACCCTCATCTGCCAGGGTGTCCCTGTGTCTGTGGCACCTGGGCTTTGCTGGGGCCCTGAGCTCCCTCTCTCTCTGGGAGCTGTGGGAGGTGAAGGGATAAGGAGCCCCCAGCCCAGGATGGGGTAGGGAACTCGTGAGAGGACCCCCTGCTCACAGGCTGTGCCCCCCCACACACAGATGCTGAGGCCGTGGGGGAGCCCCGTTTCTACCTGCTGAGCAAGGACAGCTCCGAGACCTTCGGGTTCTGCCTGCACGAGGAGCGGGGCTGCCAGGGACACATCGTGCGCCAGATTGAGCTGGGGGGGGTGGCCCAGCGCAGGGGGCTGCAGGACGGGGACAGGCTCCTCCAGGTCAATGGCCACTTCGTGGACCACATGGACCACATGAGGGTAAGCTGGGAGCACCCTGGGGGCCGGTGGCATGACCCTGATCCCACCCCATCCCAGGGGTTCACGGCCTGGGTGCTCCCAGGTGGTGCAGAGGATCAAGGCCAGTGGGAATCAGGTCCTGCTGGCGGTGCTGGATGGTGATTCTTACGAAGCTGCCAAAGCCCTGGGCAGGGACCTGTCCGAGATGCTGCCCCCTGACATCCGCCCACGCCTCTGCCACGTCACCAGGGACAAGAGCGGCTTTGGCTTCACTGTGTCGGGGCCAGAAGGTAAAATGGGCAGTGGGGATGCTGGCACTGGGAGCACCCCAGGATGTAGCCTCTGTCCCTGTGTGACACTGTCACTGCTGCCCCACCACGTGCCTGGGCATTCCCTGAGCTCCTGGGTGCACAGGCTGGCGAATAACCCCAGATCTCCTCCCTGCAGGCACCAAGGGCACCTTCCAGCTGTCAGTGAGGCAGGATGGGCCAGCGGACAGGGCAGGGGTGCCAGCAGGCTCCTGGCTCCTGGAGCTCAACGGGGACAGCGTGAAGAGCTACTCACACACTCAGCTCACCAAAAAGGTGCCTGTTCCCGGCGTGGGTGGGTGAGGGATGGGGCTGGGAACATCCCTGGAGGAATCACCGAGCGCCCTGTGCTTCCCACCCAGCTTAAGCAGAGCGGCAGCAAGGTGACCCTGCTGGTGGCATCCAGTGCCGTGGAGGAGTTTTACCGCCTGCGGGGCCTGCGGGTCCCGGCCGCCCTGGCAGACCCCGCCTGGCTGCCCTTCAAGGCCCGGGAGCTGCGCTTGGAGAAGGGCCCGGCTGGCTACGGGTTCCTGCTCAAGGAGGACGACTGCATCTCGGGGGGCATAGGTGAGGGGGCTGAGGGGGTGGTCTGTACCTGGGCAAGGTGTGACTGAAGAGCTGCCAGCCCCGTGCCCGTCTGCACTCAGGGGTCAGCGGTGCCAGTTCCCCTCTGGCAGCTCCTCCCCACCCTCCCTGTGCCCTCACCGTGCCAGGGCAGTTCCTGTGGGAGGTGGATGAAGGGCTGCCAGCTGAGCAGGCAGGGATGAAGGAAGGGGACCGTGTCCTGGCGGTGAACGGCGAGAGCATCGAGGGGCTGGACCACGAGCAGACGGTGCTCAGGATCCGTGCCCACGAGGAGCGGGTGACGCTGCTGGTCATCGACCCTGCTGGCGATGAGTTCTACCACTCAGTAGGTTTTGGGGACCCGGTGTGGTCCTGCCCTGGCTGGGGAGCCCTGGGGTGCTGTGGGTGAGGTGCTCTGGCTGTGCAGCCCCAGGAGCTGCACGTCCATCCCTGCTCTGCTCTTCCAGATCGGGCTGTCCCCTCTGCAGTTCTTCGAGGACAGTGACGCTGCCTCAGGCTCCTGCACACCCTCTCTCAGTGGCTCCCCTGGCCCCTGTCACGTTGAGGTGGCACCAAAGGGACCTGTCTCCTGGCTGGTGGCTGCTGCCAACAGCATAGAGCTCGCACAGGTAATTCCTCTCACCGGGAAGTGCTGCTCACAGCCGGGTGGTGCTCTGAGCCCTGTCACCCTCCTGCTCTGCCCATCCTAATATTTCCCTGGCACCTGTGGTGCTGGCAGGAGGGGGCTGTGTGGTCCCCTGGCCGCAGGGGCCAGGCAGAAAGGCACCTCCAGCTTACCCATGGGGCGAGGGGTGAGTGTGGTGGGTGGGTGTGTGTGTGGTGCCACAATGCCCCTGCCGTGTCCCCGCAGAGCCCGCGCCGGGAGGAGCAGAAGAGGCTGTGCCAGTCCTTTTAGTGGTCCAGGAGCCTCTGGACAGGCTCTCCCACGCAGCACCTCCACCCAGGCCATGTCTGGCCCCTCAGACCACAGCATGGACCTTGCACACATGACTCCTGTGTCTCGGTGCCCGTGACGGGGCTCACAGCATCCCACCTCCCACAGATGATGGATGTGGCTCCCAGCTTTTGCTGGCCATGGTGGCAGCTCCTTGTAGCCTGAAGACAGACCTGTGTCTTTGCCAGCCCAGCTGCCTCCAGGAATTTCTCAGGACACTTCCCCAAAGGCCTTTCCCAGCTCCAGGCTCTGGGAGTTCTCAGGAGAGCCGAGGCACTGCCCTCCATGCACTGGGGACCTCGAGGCTCAGCTCAGGGCTGACCTTTAGGCTGCTGTGTGAAGAGGGAAAGGAGCAGTGGAGGCCAATGGGGTGCTGGAGGAACCTCCCACCTCTCCGATCTGCCCGTGCATGGACATTTCTTGTGCTCCTCCCACCCTCCCTGTGAACCTGTGGGCAGTGAGTGCCCACCACCCAGCACGGCACTGTTCCTGCACTGCTCCTGCATGCCCCGTTTGGGGTGTGATTAAAGGACAAATCCACACTGGATAGTGCTGTGGAGAGGACTGTGATTTGACAGGACCCATCTTCTCTCACTGAAGCAACCGAGGGGATGGGCAGTGGATGTGGGAAGCTCTCCAGCTGTCCTGACAGGGAGGTAAGGGCTGAGAGCCACCCTGGGAGCCCCAGGGCACTGCATCTCCAGGGTTTTGAGGCCAAACTCCCGTAGGCACTCCTGTGCTCCGTGGCAATGGTCCTTCCTGAGGATTCCCCTTGCAGGTGACCCATCAGGAACATCCACTCATGCACACAGTGCTGGGGCAGGAGGGATCCCAGGAGGGGGGAGTTCTACCTCTCTGTCAAGCAGGGATCCCAGGAGGAGGGAGTTCCACCTCTCTGTCAAGCAGGGATCCCAGGAGGAGGGAGTTCCACCTCTCTGTCAAGCAGGGATCCCAGGAGGGGGGAGTTCCACCTCTCTGTCGAGCGTGGGAGAGTGAAAACCAGCAGGGAGTTTTGCATGTGGCCAAGACCGCAAACCTCTGGCTGAGGTTTTACCTCTGCTAAAACCGGGGCCCTGCTCGGGCTGAGCGGAAACGGGGGCGATGGCAGGGAAGTCTCTGTGCCTCTGTGGAGTCCTCTGAGCTCAGTGCAGGCCTCTGGGGTGGGAGGAGTCTGTGCCCAGAGCCTTTGGGGTGCTGACAGCATGGGAGGGAGCAGGGCAGGGTCCAGGACACTCAAGGGAGGGGTGGGATGAACTTGGCTGGCTGTCCCCAGCAGCACCCAGGTGTGGGGTCCCTGCATCTGCCCTGCTGCACCCTCCCAGCAGGAGGACAATCCCAAGCAAAAGCAACCTTTGCTTGAAGTCTCACGGCCCTGACTTGGAAGTGAATCATGCCCAGAGAAGCAGATAGTCAGGAATGCAATTGCTCAAGCACGTTCCCTGATCTCTTTGGCTCGGAGCCATGGCCATTTTTGTAATTTGGCTCTAACAAAGCTGGTGTTGCCCTCCCCAGCTCTCTTCCCCAGGTACTTGTGGTATCCTGGGGCTGGCCAGGGCACCCGCTGGTGGTCAATCCGGCTTGACTATTAGCCAGAATCCATTAGCACCTAATGGGAAAAGCCTCAGGAACACGGCCTCAACAAACGTTGACATATTTGAGGTCAATATAATCCTTAGGAAAATTTGCCCAGGTAATTAAAGCCAGACAAGGAGTTGCCCGTCCCAGAAATATTTTACCGAGCTTTACCAAAGGCAATAAAATAAAAGGCAGAGGGTTTTATAACCAATCCATGCCAGGCTCCCTTGTTGCATGTCCAAGCTCCAGGCCTGAGTTTAGGGTGCCTGTGCTCCCCAAACTGCAGCACTCGCTGTTTCCCTTGGCCCCTTCCCCCCTCTCTCAGTCCCTGTGGTGAGGCTGAGGCCGCGCAGCACCAACCGCAGCGGGTTTTTCGCAGAGGATGCCTGGAAGAGGAGATGAAAAGAGGATCTGAAGGCAGCAAAGAAACAGAACTGAACCAGGTTTCGAGCGCGTGTTGTAATTTTTTTGAGAGTTTGGTGTTGAAAGCTCTGACAAACCCACTCCCTGCACTGCTTTTCACTCCCTGCTCCCCTTTGCTGTCCCTGGTCCCCTTTCTCTCCTTGGTCCCCTTTTCTCTTACTCATCCCTTTTCTCTCCCTGATCCCCTTTTTCTCTCCCTGATCCCCTTTTTCTCGCCCTGGTCTCTTTTCACTCCCTGTTCCTCCAGTTACCCTCAGTGTCCTGATCCTGCTCCCGTGGGTTGCTGGTGCCAGGGACGCATCCTCGTGTGGGCTCTGCCTTCCCCTGCCCCTGTTCCCATCCCATCCCATCCCATCCCATCCCATCCCATCCCATCCCATCCCATCCCATCCCATCCCATCCCATGGGATGCCGGTTCAGCCAGGCGCGGCTGGTCCCGCTCCGCCCCTCCTCGCACGTCCCGCTTCCCCGCGTCCGGGCGCGTTCTTAGAAAAGGGAAGGCGGCTTCTGGAGAAAGGGGAAGCGCCCCTGTTTCGCAAGCGGGAAGGGAAGGGAAGGGATGCGAAGGCTCCATCCCGGGGGGGGGACGGCGGGACCGGCGCGGCCCCCGCGTTGCCATGGCGACCGCGCCCCGCCCCGCCCCGCCTTCACCCGCCATGGCGGCCGCGCCGCCCTCACCGCGCCGCACCGCGCGTGTCCCCTTCCCCTTGACCAATCACCGCCCGCCCCGCCCCGGCCCGGGGGGCGTTCCCGGGCGCGCGGGGCGGCGCTCGGCCAATGGGCGGCGGGGAGGAGGGCGGGGCCTCGGCCGGGACCGGGCGCCGCCACCGCCCACGGCCGCCGCCGCCGCCGCCCTGCCCGGCCCGGCCCGGCCCCGGCGCCCTCCGCTCCGGCCCCTGCAGGGCCCCCCCGGCGCGGGGGGCCGCGCACGGGTGTCCCCCATGGCGGCGCCGCTGAAGAAAGGCCCCGGCGGGCTGATCGGGCTGATGAAGGACGCGTTCCAGCCTCACCACCACCACCTCGGGCCGCACCAGCCCGGCGCCGTGGACAAGAAGATGGTGGAGAAGTGCTGGAAGCTCATGGATAAGGTGTGTGTGTGGGGGGGGGTCTGGGATGAGCCTGGAGTTCTGGGAGAGAGGGGTTTGGGGCTGGGAGGGGAGATCTGGGGGGGTCAGGGGTGTGCGGGCAGAGGGTGCTCTGGGGGGAGAAGGGTGTGGGGAGCGTAGGGTGGCAGGGCACGGGGAACGGTTCACACTGATAGAGAGGACGTTCAAACGGGCTGTGGGGAAGAAATTCCTCCCTGGGAGGGTGGCGAGGCCCTGGAATGGCTTTCCCAGAGAAGCTGTGGCTGCCTCGTCCCTGGAAGTGCTTCAAACCAGGCTGGGCTTGGTTTGGAGCAGCCTGGGGTCCAGTGGAAGGTGCCCCTGCCCGTGGCAGAGGGTGGAACGAGATGAGCTTTAAGGTCCCAAACCATTGGGTGATTCCACGTGGGAGCTGATGGAGAGGTGAGGAGTGGGATGCCAAGGTGGGAAGGAGATCAGCAGCTCTGCGAGGGATGGGCTGTGGTGGGAGCAGGTTGGAGGAAGAAGGGGGTGATTTGGGATGGAGGGGGGAGATGCAGACCTGCTCAAGGTGATCTGGGGTTTGCACTTCCCCAGGGCTCCCAGAGCTCCAGGAGTGTTTGGACGGCGATCTCAGGCACAGGATGGGATTGTTGGGGTGTTCCATGCAGGGCCAGGGGTTGGACTGGATGCTCCTCATGGGTCTTTTCCACCTCAGGGATATCCCATGACAATCCTGTAGGGGCTGGGCTGGGCACTGGTGGTGCTGGGAATGGGTGGGACCTGGTGGGGAGCTGCAGGTGGTGTCAGCAGCGGGTCCTGCCTGTGTGTGACTGCACAAGGGAGAAATCCTGGGATTTGCTGGTTGGAAGGTGAGCCTGGGCCTGTGGCAGAGCCTGGGTGGTGGAGCTGAGCACCTGCTTTGTGACAGGTCAGGTTGTTCTTTCCTAAATGAGCAGGGACAGGTTGCTGAGCTCAGGGCTAAACCTCTCCCTTAAAACTGGGAAATAAGACATGAGATAAACCCTCTACGGTAAATACACGTAGTTACACGGACACAAGGAGCAGGAAATATAATATAATCAATAAAAAACTTGTGGTGTGGGAGTGGGAAAGGCCTTTTTTCCAGGCCCACACCTTTAGGAGGGGCACAGCTCTCTGGGGTCATTAAGCCTCTCCCCTCCTCCTCCTCCTCCTCCTTCTAAAACGCCAGGAAATGGCTGTTGCCGGGGGCAGGACACCAGACCTTTTGGCCTGGTGGTGTGATGGGATGTGGCATTTGGTTTACTGGCCTGGCTAGGTGTGCTGGTAAAGCCAGTGTTTTAGGAAACCCTGGTGAGGTCTCAGGGAATGGCCCAGCGAGCGAGTGCGGGCACGAAATAAAAACGTACCAGTTTGGGTGGGATTTTGGTCGACCCTCTGATGTTGTTACTGGGCAGCTCTGAGACCAAGGCTGGGCTTGAAAGGTTGCAGTGTGTTTTATGGCACTGGGTTCAGACTCACCCACGGTCCTTGGGGAGTGTCACCTGGCCACCCCATTCCCAGCAGGCAGGGCTGATGGGATCCCTCATCCAATTGCCCTGCAGGCTTATGCATTTCCACTTTTCCCTCTCTTCTCCCTTCTGCCTTGTTTATCCCTGCAGTGTCTGAGCCTCCTTCAGCAAGTGCTAAAAGCAGGCAGAGCAAATGACTTCTTTAAAGACTGTATTAAATTATATTCATGCCAAGAGATCACTTTGTGTTGGCTGGCTCCACAAAAGACGTGGTTTATAGTTGTGCCTTGCTGTGCCTGTGACGAGCTTTGATCACCTACAGCGAGGCTGGGATGAAGGAAAAAAAAGCCCTTTGAGAAGTGCCATTGAGGGCAAGCACAGGTGATAATGTGGGAGGGGGAGTTTGAGCATGGAAAGGGGGTCCTGAATGGGTTTAACGTGCACACGCAACTTGTGAGAATGTTGTATTTGTCCCAGGTTAAACCAGCCTCTTTTAAACGTCCACTGACTCCAGTTTTACTCGTGGGCAGCCTCCAAAAGCCCTCAGAGGGAGGCTTAAAGTCTTAAAGAGTTAGTTGTTCAGTGTGATTTGTGCAGGAGGAAAGATTTGGCTGTGAAAAGCCTTCCAGGCTGCAGTTAGGCTTCAGCTGTACTCGGGCACACTCAGGAGGACACCTCTGGATTCAAAGTCCTTCCAGTGGTGTAGCAAATTAGCAGCAAGGCTCGTGGTGAGAAGGGCTAAATGAGTGGAAGGTGTTGAAAATGGGTTAGGTTTGTGGGATTCCAGGTGCAGATGAAAACCCCCCCTTGTGTGCATGTCTAATGGGTGATGTGTGTGCCTCGCAGAGCTGCGTGCTGTGTGTGTGTACACTGCACTCACGGCCTCGTTTGTCAGTCTGCATAATTAGCCGGTCTTGTCAAAGCATTTGTGCATCTCTGCTCTGGGATGTGACTGATGAATTTCCTATGCAAGTTGATTCTTGTCCAAATATTTCCCCTGTAATGTTCTCCATAAGCTGCCTGACGTATTTTATGTCTTTCAGATTCTTTCATTTGAAGTCCTGATTTTTTTTTTTTTTTTGTCGGCTCTAACCATTCCTCCCACAGCTCCACGTGGTCCCATGGACACAAAATAGCCCTCTCCATCCCTGTGGATGTTCCCCTTCAGCTGAACGAGGTGGTACTGGTGCACTTCTCTGCAGAGCAGTGTGATTAAGCGCAGCCCACTGGAGTTGGTTGCTGTGGGTGGAATTTGAGGAATAGGTGGGTTAGTCATGAGGTGGAAGGGATGGAGCAGAGGAATGACAGAATACGTGGAGGAAGAAGAGGAGCTTTGAGATAAAGCTTCTCTAAACAGCTCTCTGATGCCATTCAGTCCCTAGAACTGCTGTAGGGAAGTGCCACTGCAGGTCACCTTCACGGGAAGTAGAAGACAGGCCAAACACAAACTCGGCAGGAGATAAGAGATGTTTGAGTAGCTTCTGTTTTGCTGTTGGCTTAAGCTGCAGTGACGTGTGATTTCAGTAAGGTCGGTTGTTTAGCTGTTAAAAGAAGGGAAAAATGAATTTCCAGAACTGCCTGGAAGGGAAAATCTTACCTGGGACAACAGCAGCTGGATGCTTGTCAGGCCTGGGACTCTTAATTCCAGGAATCAGTTAAAGCAAGCTGCAGATTCTTGAAGGAAAACATTCAATTCCAGGCCTCCAAGACTTAGATGAGATTGTTTTTCCTCCTGTTCTGAAGATTCTTTCTTCAAAACTGAGTTGGGAAAACTGGTTTTTTTTTGTATTATTATTATTTTCTGCTCTTGAGTTTGAAAAGGCTACACCTCTTAGAATGTTAATGCTAAGCTTGCAGTGCTTTACTGGCATGTCTAAAAACCCAAAAGGGCTTGTTCCTGAGGGAACAAAGCACGAGCCAGGCAAACCTGGATGTGCTGGGCTGATAATGTAAGAGCAGGGAGTGCTTCTCTCTGCTGCCATCACACCTCATAGGAAATATTTGCTGCTTTTTGCTGGCTTTCCTTCCACGTTGCTGGTCCCTGTGGAAGGCTGGGTGGCTGCTGAGGGGCAGCTGTTCCCAGGGCTGGGAACATTCCTTTGGACTCTGTCATGGTGCTGCAAGTGCACACGTAGAGAAACAAGCAGAATTGTGGCTGGTTTTGGTGCTGTTGTGTTATAAAACCACCAAGTTTGCTCAAGAGGCAGCAGTTCCCAGTCATGTTTTAACTGCTTAGCTAATTCTGGGCTGCTTGGTAAATAAAAAGAAGCTGATTTGATAATAAAATAACAGCAGTTCTGACCTTTCTGTTGACTGTTTGAGGTATCTTTGCGAGTCACTTCTTGGGAAGCGTTTAACGGGGGCCCTGGGAATGAGCAGTTTGCAGAACTTGCTTCTGCTGTGGGGAAATGGTTCTGATGGGTATCAAAGTCTGTTATACAACTGAAATGCAGTGGGTTTGCTGCTTCCATAGCTGGGTATTTTCAGAGGGTAGCAGCCAAACTGCTCTCTCGGATGGCTGAGGGAAGTGCATACTCTGACTTGTTTGCTTGCTTAATGTGGCTTCCTCCTAAGAGCTGACTGTGTTTGTTAAGGTTTGAAACCCACTGTGGAATAAACAATTTCTGCTGAAGAGAAAGGTTTTGCTACCCCAGAGCACAACTCAGCTGTGTCTGAGGAGCATATTTAGAACCTATTCATGCTGCAGAGTGAAACTATTTTTTTTTTTCCAGGGGACAAATGTGTTGACTCAATTTGTTGATATGGTTCATTGTACAATGTTCACAGGCTCCAAGGAAGCAGCAGTTGAGGCATCAGCATCAATTGACTAAGTCAGCTGTCTGGCCATCCATCTCCTTATCTAGACCCCCCCTAATCCTTGGCAGCCTCTGCGAAATGGAGGGAAGAGTTTGGTGGTTTGTTTTTCCCCACCATGTATTCCTGCAGGGGCTTTTTTAGACATGTAATTTTTTTAATGGCAGTTTGATTTTTTGATACACTGTGTGCCTCTCTCTGGGCTGAAATGGAACCTTTCTCAGTCAGCTCTTGTTAGAGGCACTGCTGCAAGTCAGGTACAATTGGAGATGTCACTTTTACAAGGTTGCTTTTTGCACAGACAGTTAAATGCTAAAACACTGTTGCAGAAGAACTGACTCTGTTTACCATCAGTGTTTCAGTGAAGTAGGTATTTAAATATGCACTGTAGGGAACTGCTCAATTCCTCTTGAAGGTTTCACAAGGTTTTGTGGAAATGATGTGCTGCAAAAAGATGTTAAATTATTCTTTTGCCTTTTCTATCCACTGCACTTGAGCTTTGCATTGTTTGATACCTGTGATTCCCTCATACCTGGCAGTGTCCTGAGTTTAGGCCTGTTTAACATTCATTATAGTGAAGAATAAGAATGTAACTACATTTTGTGCTGTGCTTCCTGCCAGGTTTACTGTAAATCACAGAACATAGAAATGTTAGCCACTAAAACTATCCCAGCTGCTGGTTCTTATAAACTTGATCTAAACCTGACCTCACAGCTCTAATTTCAGCCCCTTTTTATAACTGAAAGTGCACTGCTTAATTTTTCAAATTGCTGCTTTGCCATCAACCCTCCCTGTTATTCTCTCAGTTTAGATAATGGAAAATTTGGGCAGTGATGGATGGTGAAGTGGCTTCCTTTGTCCTCCCCTGTCACAGAAATTTATTGTCACGGGTTTCATCAGTCCACAGGCACTTCAGTCCAGAGATTGGAGTCTTTTATGGTGGCTGGGCTCGCTATCTGGAGAAAAGGAGGCTCAGGGGACACCTTGTTATCCTCTAAAACTACCTGAAAGGAGGTTGTAGCCAAGGGGGATCGGGCTCTGCTCCCAGGGAAGAAGAGACAGGATGAGAGGAAACGGCCTCAAGCTGTGCCAGGGGAGGGCCAGGTTGGACATCAGGAGGAATTTCTTGGTGGAAAGACTTGTTAAACACTGGAAGGGGCTGCCCAGGGAGCTGGTGGAGCTCCGGGTCACTTCATTTCAAACGGGCGTTTTCTCCCCTCGCCGCAGGTGGTGCGTCTGTGTCAGAACCCCAAGCTGGCCCTGAAGAACAGCCCACCCTACATCCTGGACCTGCTGCCTGACACCTACCAGCACCTGAGGACCATCCTGTCCCGCTACGAGGGCAAGATGGAGACGCTGGGGGAGAACGAGTATTTCCGGGTGTTCATGGAGAACCTGATGAAGAAAACCAAGCAGACCATCAGCCTCTTCAAGGAAGGGAAGGAAAGGATGTATGAGGAGAACTCCCAGCCTAGGTAATGCAGTGAAATGGTTCCAAAAATTCGTTATAGGAACCCAATACTTCATATTTAGGTAGATCGCTTGTCAACTCGTCTTTCCTTTTGTACAAAGGCAGAGCTGAGGTCAAGGGACATCTTCAGGGTGAACAGCACTTGCTGGAAAGGATAGGAGGTGGAGGTAGAAATTGCAGTTGCATCTGAATATAAGGCTCTCTTGAACAAAAAAAAAAATATGAATTCAGTGAGCACTGTACTGTACCTGAAAAAGTGTTTCTTCATCCATGATTTAAGATTAGAATAAAGCTCTGGAAAAGGTTAATCTTACACGTTTGTGTGGCTGTTGGCAGCAGGTCTAACAGGCAGAGATATGCAAGGCATACATTTGTAACTCTAACCTCATTTCAAGGATTTTGAAATAGATGATGAATTGAAGTAGATGCTGAATTTAAAAAAAAAGGTGGAAAAAAAAAAAGTAAAAACCACCCAGTGGCTGAACATAATTGCCCTGGGGAGAATGTGGTTAACGCCCTGGCAACTGCTTGCTTGAATTACTGGAGGGGGGAGAAGTGCTGGCACATGTTTCTGGTTTAATATTGAACTCTGTGTAGCATATTCTGTCACACTGAGCTCCAAGCAGAGCCTGTGACAGTGTCTGCAGAAGGCATTGCTAATGCTGTTTGAATTGTTACCCACTGCGTGGAAGAATGAATTAAGACGTGAAAAGTTTCTTTCTGGATTGTTGCTGCCTCTGTGTGTGTGTATTGTGATCTGCCTGTCATGAATCTGCAGCATCTGATGAGTAAAATGATGGCTGTGTCAGTCCTAAATCCAAAATCCCACCTCCAGTTTCCAAGAGAAGCAGAGAGAAATAATTCCAGAGAGTTTATCAGTCATCCTGGTTGGTTTGTACTCCAACTAATTGAGTAAAGGCAGGGAGGGAAATCCAGATTGATAGATGTGAAGTCAGACAGAGGACTGCAGTGTGGGCTGGTGTTCTCACAGTAGGGATGGGAGTCCCTGGGGAATTGCTAATTGTCCCATTTATGAGTAAACAGCTTACCAGGGAAGGAACTGCGGTGAGACTTGTAAACACAGGCATAAAAACAGCATCATCACATCCTGGTTGCTCTCCCTGCATCTCCCTTTGCTCCTCCAGTCAGCCCAGGAAGCAGCAGGCGCTGTTTTGTCCTAAATGGGTAATACCAGAGAGCCTTTTCCTGCTCAGGAGCATGGGAACCTTCTCAATTCTTCCATTCGTCCTGGAAAAGAAAGAGGTTACAGCAGTCAGTGTGTGTGAGCTGTGTACCAGTCCAAAAGATATTTGCACAAGAAAAAAAATACTAATTTTTGTAAGAATTAACGAATGCAAATATTCCAAGTGCTTTTGAGAAGGGAGAAGCTTCTTTGGAGGATTGTCAGGAGTCTGCAAAGCAAACAAATATAACCTGAATCTGGTATTCACTGGGAATGGACTCATGATAGTGTGTATATATGTATATATGTGTGTGTGTATGTAAAAAAAATGAGGTTTTCTCTTGATTTCATGCAAGTTTATGGCTTTTAATCTGCAGTGTTTTGAGAAGAGGACTTTAAAACTCTAATAATCACATTGTGTTGATTTTTTGTGACCCTTTTTTTCCCCTGTCACTCTTGAAGCTGCTTTCTTCCTGTCTTCCTTAGCATTCATTTTGCCTCCTGTTGTGTGTGCTCTTATTTTCCTCCCCCAAAAGTCTCTTGATGTAGAGCAAATGCGGTGTTTTGACATTTGCATAACCAGTGTGGATGCTGTGCAGGTGTTTGCTCCCAGCAAACAGACCAGTAATGAGAAATGAAGCCTCCCTTAGCTTTTGGGGCCAGAATTGTTCTTGGTCACTTGAGCACACCAACCTTCTGTTTTTATCCTTTCCAAACTGAGAGGTGAATACACAGAGAGGGTTTGGGTTTTTTTTTCCATGTATTTATAAATTAACCATAGTTGTTCTTCTCTCCAGTGAGCTCCTGCTGCGATTTTTGTGAAGAGAACTCTCTTGTTTTATTAGGAGAGCTTTCAAGATGCTGTTTAAACTCTGCTTTAGCTCACTTCCATGTCTGTTTAAAAATTAATGCTGCTGAGGGTGCTTTTAAAGCTCCATGTGTGCACTTCCTGACTAATAAGTACAAGTAGCAGCTCCTGGTTACTGTTTAAATACTGAATTTTAGCAAGTAGATCAGATTGGACTTGGTGACTTGTGAGTGGGTTTTTGTGGGGATAACTGTGGTGCTCCTCTGAGTTTTGACAGCTACCAAGTAACATCTGCAGGCTTTGATCTTGGAATCAAATAGTATTTCCATTCTTTAACAAAAATCTGGTTAAACATATCTATTTTCTTCCCTGGTTTCATTGCTTGGCAGTGCCATCCAAGCTGATACCACTGCTCTGAACATGCCTAAGCTCTTGATTTCGGTTTCATTTGGAGGCTCAGGGGTTACCTTGGACTATTTTTTTTTTTCTTTCCGTTGCAGAAAGCTTTTACTTCTCAGCCCTCTTGCTTGCACATTCGTCAGCTTCCCCCACTGCATAAATTACTTATTGCACCAGTGGGTTTGCAGTTGTGTAAATGGATTATTCCTGACGTGGCAGCACTGAAAAATAGCTTGTTGATCAGGAGAATTGTCTGTGACTTGGGAAAGGATGAATTAGGCTGAAGAGTCCGTTTTTCACCGAATAATCAAACTTACTAATTATGTTAAAACAGCCTATTGGGGGGGGGGAATTCAGAGAGTTTATTTTCTAAATAAATCAGCCCATTGCAAATGTTTCCATACTAGAACACAGTTATGGGAGGTGGTGGGTGAAAGGCTGAGGAGAGATAATTACTCAGGATGTGAACTGGATGTTTAAGGAATAGCACAAGTTATTTTTCTGGTTCAGCCTTGGGAAACAAACTGTTAACAAAACCCAGTTAACAAAACAATCTTGTCTGTAGTCACGGAGTCAGGGAATATCATAAACCCTTTCCATGTACCAGGGAGGTGAAATAAAGCTTTGGGGAGCTGGTCCACAGTTAATTGTTGTTCTTTTGACAACAGCCTTCTGGGGTGCTGGCTCAGCAGGATTTAATTTTCTTCTCCAGCTCCAAAGACTTGCTAATTTGCACAGGAAAAAGCCACCAGTATTTAATGTCTACTGGAAATGACCATACATATCTCTGAAGGGGAAGGAAGTGCATGAAGAATGACTTGGGGGAGGGGGGGGTTGGAGGGAAAAAAAGGATGGAATTTAAAGAGGAAAAAGTTGGAAAACACTTGTGCTAAAACATGAACCAGAAAAAGTCTCAGGGGGAGGGGGGGTTGGTGCTCTAATCTCATATTTTAGAGCTCTTGCACACATTCCTGCCCAGGGAAAAGGAGATAGTGGGAAATGTGGGACTCAAATGGTGCGTGCGAGTCCTCTTTCTGTCACTTCCTTCTAATGCAACAAGACTTTTTTTTTTTTTTTTAAAAAACAAAACCCACTAGTGTGAAGTCTACATCTGCATTTAAATTAGAACATCTTAAAGAAAAGAACAGGCTCCAAAGCTGCCCACAAGAAAGGTTTCCTTGCCAGGCTCCAGCATATGAACGCTAACTAACTGCTTATTACCCAAGAAGAAATTCATTATCATGTAAATGTTGTTGGAGAGAGGAATGTGAATTATTTCTTTTTAATTTGGCTTTAAATTGCAGTTTAGGTGATAGTTTTGGAACTTAAGTAACACTTAGCATAATTGGATCTAAGCTTGCATTTATTACAGTTTTCTTTCTGTCTAGTCTTGAAAATCAATTTATGGACAAATGTAAGCTTTCAGATTATTGCATAATAAGGAACTAAGGTTTTTATTCTTCTTTGCTCTCTGTAAAATTGTAGAGTTTTATGGAAGACTAACTCTGTGGACTTGCTGTTGTGGGTGGAATTGCAAGCACATTAGTTAGCTTGTAGTAATTATCATTTGAAATGTGGATAGATTTGTTTTGGGTTTTTTTTTTTGATGTTGGCAAAAATGTGTTGCTGCTACTTGGCAACTGAATCGTGTCTCTTGGGTGTTTGGCTTGTGTGTTAAGGGCTGAGATGCCACCTTTTGGATTTGTGGGTTTGGATTTCAACTTCTTAGTATCTAATCTGAGCCTGCCCTCCCATCAGTTTGAGGCCATTCCCCCTTCATACCCAGCACGGTTCTGAAGTGGCTGAAGATTAAACATGAGATTTGGAGTCTGCCTTGATTTGGAAGCAGGGCTTTTGTGCTCTGTTTTTCTCTTTAACTATAACAAATAAACTCTGAAGTATAAATTTTGATCCCAGTGCAAAGAACCCAAATATAATGGGGAGTGTCCTGAACAGTAAGTTTGCTGTGTGTAGTCCCTTGAATTTGGTAAAAGAATTAATCTGTTACCTGAGAGGTTTATCCTTTATCTCATCAATCCTTTATGTTGAACTTTTCAAAGACCATTAATCATAGCAAAGGAGTTTTCTGTAATATTTAGATTTTAATAATGGATTTTTTTTTTTTTTTGCTTCTTAACATTGAAGAAATGTATTTGTTAAATTTGTTAAAAATATAACACCAGCATTTGTACCTAGAATAATAAATCCAGATCCTTTAAAGGTCAGTAGGTTTGGTCCTTCTGGTCAGCACAGTGGCCTCTTGTCCTTTCTGCTTCAGATCAGTCACAGCCATTTGCATAAAAATACGAGTGTGCCAAAGTTTTTGGGTGGTTTCTGTGACACTTTGAACTCCTTGCCAAGCTCTGCTCACAGACCTCGAGGTGTTTAAACAGATACATGTTAGCTGAAAAATGCCAGGGCTCAGAAGGGTGTAAGGAAACGTGCATTTGGGTAACATTTCTGCTCTGTAGCATCCAAAGCTTTCTGTCCTGTAATATCTAAGGCATTGAAAGGAATTAGCTGATGGCCTAAAATTCTGTAGTACAGGCAGTGAATTTACTGCTAGCCTGCTCTCTTAGTTGTCCTGAGGAAATCCTGTGAGTGTTGCACAGCAGAGCTCTCTGCAAAGTGCCTCCTGTTGAGCCAGTAATAGTTAAGTGGAATTTCATTCACTTCCTGTGTTGCAAGTTTTGTTGAAAGTAGTTCCGCTGTTTCTATTTTTAAATCTGATTACTGCGCGCAGGGGACACTGAAACTGCCTCAGAGTCACAAAAGACATCTCGGGATCACCTCAATTTCCACTTGGTGCCTGTAGGCATTAACTGGGGGTTTGCTGAACGCAGAGAACTCGTTGCTGATGTAGGGGGTGACATGAGATAAGAGTTATTCTTTTTTTTTTTTTCAAACCAGGCTCACCAAACTGCTGAAATTGGGTTGAGCTGCTCGTGCCCTGGTGCACAGTTCATCTGAAAAACACGTGTGATGTGAGAACCCCCCCCTCCCACACACCTTTGTGGTTTCCAGAGGTGCATTTTGCTTGTTGCAGAGTCGTTAAGAACTGTTTGGGTGGGTTTTTTTTAACTGATTTTTTTTTTGTCTTAAATCTTCAAACTATAAAACTGCGAGATGTAAGGTAGTTATAGGGAAAAAAAAAAACTGTGGTTTGGGGTTTGTGGTTTTTTCATAAGTACTGGAGCTTGCACTTACCTCCAGTGGAAGTGTCACCTCAACCTAAGAGTGTAAGAACAAGAAATAAGCGCCATAATTACAGAGAAGGGAAGCATTTTGAGGTTGGCTGTCTTGTGTTACAGCTCTCAATTCCTCTGCACAGCCCTGCTGGTAGCATTCCTCCAGCAGCATGAACCTTACAGGCACAGCAGTCTTTGCACATCAAATTATGGCAAGTGAGCACAATATTGTGACTAAATCAGCGAGGAGCAGAATTATCCCCTGGCAGCTGCTTGGCTGTGAAGGGGGTGAGAAATATTGGAAGGAAATGAGAAAAAAAAAAAATGTAGCTGGCAGTGGCAGAAATGGCAGTGCCACGTTAACGTGGCCTTGAGGTAAAAAGGCATTTAGTCACTGTGGGGCTGGTAACGTGAATTAATTGAAATGAGAGAGGCAGCGCTGATTAAACCATCCTCTGCCCTCGGTGGTTTTGCAAGACTGAGGCTACGTGGTGGAAAAATGCTTTTGTCCAGGAAAATGGGAAAGAAAGGTCAGCAGGAGGCAACAGCAGCAGAAAACCCATCTGGGGCTGGCCTTGGGGGGGCAAGTGGAGGTGTCTCCTGGACCTCTCGTGTTCCACAGAGATGTGTGGAGCAAAGCCAGTGCTGAGGCAGAAGGAAGTAGCAGAAGCACAGCAGAGGAGGGAGGCTGGAGGAACAGGCCCTGCTGAGCACACAGCCTTGGGCAGCCAGCACGGGCTGACCGAAGGAACCCTCTTGCTTCACGCTGGTTTTGGTTCCCCAAATCTCTAGAACCTTGTCAGTGTTAAGGCAGCACCGTTTTACAGGCAGTAACTGCAGCTGAACAGGCTCTGGGTTGTTACAGAAACAATTCTCAGTGAACTTTGTGTGCAAAAGGACTAATGCCCCCACGCTGGAACTGCAGGTGTTCCACAGTAAAATAGCTGGTGACTGTGCACAGTGGGAAAATATTTGGCTTTCTAAGCTTTCACTTGATTCATTAACTCCAACAATAATGTTTGGGAATCCCTGATCTGCTTTGAACACATAACCCTGTTCCGGGAGCACACTCACTTCTGTTCAGTTGAAGCAGTGGAGATAAGGACAGTTCTGATGTTACTAAAAATAAACTGCAATCATCAGTAAACTTTCGTGTGCCAATAAAAATGCTCACTCTAATTGCAGGCATTTGTTTGGTCTGTATAAATTTGCAAATATGTAACTTGTTAAAATAAAGGAAAGTAAATGTTTGTGCTTTTAGCACAGGCTTGGTAACCAGTTGCTTTAAAAGCTTGTTACTAACATAAACTATTCTGCAATTTGCTGCTCTTTATGTTCACTTCCTGTGTTTTGCCTGTTATTTGCCTACAGCAACGGCTGAATATTTGTAAAAAAATTATGATAACCTTGAGAATCTGAAATGTTCAGCTATCAGAAATGTTTTTGGAAACCAAGTCCTTCAGTGTGTGTGTGTGAAATCCTTTGTTTAGCCATCCATAAGCCTCAGGAAGCTCTTGCCTCTCTCGTGAACTGATGTGCTCAGCTGAGTGCAGACACTTCCTGAAGCTCAGCTAAGCCAGAAGGCTCTTGGGCAGAAGTGATAAACAAGTGGACAGGGGAATATTCCCTGGCTTCCTGCAGCGTTCACTGTTTTGTGTAAACCATGCACTTGTCAGGGCTCAGAAATGCATTAATGTGCTTGGCTGATCGTACCCAAATTTCCACACACCGTGCTGGGCAGCAATGAGGGAGCCCAGATGTGAAATGACTGTCCTTTTGTCTACCAAATATTGCACACTCTGGAGTTTTTCACAAACAGAACATGATTTTTCAAGTGTTAAGGTTTGCCATGTACCCCAACAGCTTTAGGCTTGGCATTAATGCATTGCTGTGAGATTCACCTGCTGAGAAGGCACTCACATATTGCACACTCACCATTACTGACTCAATTAAATTCTTGCTGTTACTTCCATGTTGGTGTAACAAGATCATCAGCAGGTTTTGCTCAAGCTTCTCTTTTTCTAAGCTCATTAAAAAAACCCACTGTGTTTTCTTGCTCCAGTTGTAGATGGATTGAATGATTGGTAGCAGCACGGTGTTTGGGTTTTTTTTCTCTTGCACTAACATAAACTGTCAGCTTTTGTGTTGATTTTTTGGAAGTGAGGACTTTCAGAGTCCACAACCCCAACCACTGATTTGCAATTTTCCCAGTGTTTGTCAGCCAGAGGCATTGCAGGGACATGGTGGGAATCTCCACTGGAGAGGGAGCTGGGGAGTGAGTTTACACTTAAATCATCTTTTCTGTAGCATGAACCAGTGAGCTCAGAATCTGAGCCTTCCCCTGCTAGATGCAGAGTGGTTTTTCTTCTTCTAAAAAGAAGGATACACAGCTCTGACTTACCTAGCATGACACCAGGGTGGGGAGATGCACAAACCAACCTGTGTATCTGCTTTAAAACACGCAGTGTGACTGTGGAACACATCCAGAGGCAGCTGTGGGATGGGAAGAGCATCCTGGGGGGGGTTACTTTTGTTAATCTTGAGCACCTGTTGTTATTGGACATGTATGGAATGACAAAAACCAGAGTCCCGTGGTGTATGGCTCTCTATAAACACTTGGAGCAGCTTTCATTGCTGCACACAAATTAAAATGCAGTTGAATAAAAAGGGGTGAGAGAGACCTGCTGTCAGAGGAGATTTATAGTTTTGTGCCCTTCTCATCTACCTCCACTGTGAAGGGGCTCCAGTTGATTTTAGACCCTATGAAGCTGTGGCAAATGTCCCAAATGTCCAGGGAATTCCTGTGGAAGAGGCAGTTCCCCATCCCCTTTAGCTGGAGGCCAGTTCTGCAATGAGGCAGATTAACAAGATAAGTCCTACAAAGTCCAGAGCAAGTGGTATCTGAAAAATGTCCAAGATAAGTAAATAGGAGCCAATCCAACCAGAGTAGTAGAGATTGGTGAAAGGCTGAAAACCTGGGGGAGTGGAGTTTGCTGCCAAACACAGCAAGCTCAGCCAGAGAGCTTGGAAAACAGGACATGAAGAAAATACAGCGAGACTGGGGATGCCTCTACCCCCTCTCTAAATGGTTCAGTTTGGAAAAGGGCATGTTCTGATGGACTGAGGCACTCCTGATACCTGAATACCACCAGGCAGAGAAGGGGCTTGTGATTCAAATTGGATCATTACCAAACACAGTATGGCTGAGGTGTTTTTTATGTAAGTTATTACCATTTTAGCAAAAACCTGCAGGTGTTTTGACCTCCTCTTGAGAACTGGGCCTGTTACTATCAGTTAGATATTCTCTGAGCAAATCCACTGTGTTGGGACCCTCTGGAGACCTGGAAGGACATTCAGCTTACACTGTCCAAGGCAGTAGTAGTTTTTATTTTCAAACCCAAGAACAAGGGAGTCTGATGAGGTTTTTTGCCTTCAATACTTAACAGGGTGAGGTCTGAGTATTGGCTTTGCACGTTTTCTGTCAATGTATTTCCATGGGAGGGGTTTTTGCCTTGGAAATAACCTGTTGTGTTCAGAGTGATGAACTGCATCTCTTCTGAAAGAAATGTTTGGTTTTGGGGTCCTTTGCAGGCGGAACCTGACGAAGCTGTCCCTGATATTCAGCCACATGCTGGCAGAACTCAAAGGCATCTTCCCAAGTGGCCTCTTCCAGGGAGACACGTTCCGGATCACCAAGGCAGACGCTGCGGAATTCTGGAGGAAGGCTTTCGGGGAAAAGTAAGTTTCTAAAACTGGGCTTAAAAAAATATGGATGTGGGAACAATTTGCACACAGCACAGTGTATTTTTTTGAATTCTGTTTGGACCTTGAGGAAAGGCTTTGTCAGGTTAAAATGAGCAATGGGACAGACCTGGGGTGAGATGAGGGGTTGTTCCCACATTGCATTGCCCAGATTTTTGTCCTGTCTGGTTTTAAATGTGTCAGGTGATGACTCTTTCCCCACTTTCCCCACGAGGCTCTTGTACTGTCACAGAGTTTCCCTTGATTGTTCAGCTTAAATCTTCCTGTCCTTGATTTAATTCCTTAACTTGTAAGTAAGCTCCACAAACTATGCAAAATAATCTGCTTTCTTCTTCCAGAAGTTACCATGCTCCCAATATTAGTTATCCTTTCTTTTCATCTTCCCTCCAATTAGTGTTTCCAATCACTTGGTCACCTTTTTTTCCTGAACTTCTGTTTGCAAAATGGCTTTGCTGGGACAGAGAGAAGGAGAAAGTGAAGTGCAGTTTGGATTTGTGTGAAAACTGTTGAAATGAACCACTGAGGTGTTCACAGCAACATCTGAGGATTAAAATTGCTGGATTTGGTACTGCTTTCAAACTAAGGGAACTGAGGTACTTCACCTGAAGAGTTTAATTAGTAGCTGTGAGAACAGAAAGCCATAATATATTTACTCATGAATAACAGAGTTGTCTGAAGTGAGGCATCTTCTTTCTATGTTTCTATTCCACTTGATATATTAAAAGAAGGAAAATATTCCTTTAAACAGGATCCTCTGTTTTGGCTTCTGATTATCTCACTTCTCCAGTTAATCCTTCTTTAGAGAATTGTTTGTAGCTTTTTTCTTTTCTTTTTTTTTTTTAACCTCTGCTGTAAGACTTAGTGTTAACTCCTTCTCTACCACCTGCAATACTATGAAATTATTATCAAGTGATGCTATGGTAGGAAAAGGGAAAGGAGGAAGCAGGGCTGGATTTCTAACATTTTGCACGTGCAGAGAAAATTGCCTGAAGTTCCTTTGGCTGCTGATTTCCTGCAGCACCAAGAAATCCGTGCTTGTGTGACAGGAGTGGGGTGGACACTCACCACAGCAATGTCTAGGTGTGTCCATGGGGGAGGTTTTCAGACATATCCCAATCTTGGTTTTCCCCAGGACCATCGTTCCCTGGAAGAGCTTCCGCCAGGCCTTGCACGAGGTGCATCCCATCAGCTCCGGGCTGGAAGCCATGGCCCTCAAGTCAACCATTGACCTGACCTGCAATGACTACATTTCAGTGTTTGAGTTTGATATCTTCACACGACTTTTCCAGGTAAGAATTGTCTCAGTGCTTCAGGTGAAACTCGGTTTTTTTCCAGCCTAGCCATGTTTTATACACTAAAATGACATTGTTTATATTGCGTGGTTGTCCTGCCCTTCATCCCTTAAACAGCTTTAGTAATGCTTAGGATCCCATATTGCAGTAAAAGTGTGTGATATTTGTGGTTGTAGAAGAGAAAAAAAAAAAATCCTCTAAATATATACTGCACATTCAGTATCCTGCCATGAATCAGGTTTTCCCTTTCAAAGGTCACTTTGAGACTGAAATTCTGACACAGCTCCTGCAAGCCAGGAAATGTGAAGCTCAGTTTATCACTCTTGTCTTCCCTTGTCCTTTTCTTTCCTTGTCACATTTATTTTCCATACGGAGGGGGATGGTGGGAGGTTGTTCAGGATGGAAATTGAGCATGGAAATTTGGGCTTCCTCTCTTTTGAACTGACACAGCCAGGATGTTGTGGCCGTGTCTGTGTTGTGTGAAATCTCACTGAAGTGATATTAATAGTAGGTAAAAGTCTAACCCAGAGTCTTTAATAGTGCTAAATTAAAAAGCACAGCTTCTGATGGTACAGTTGGGTATTTAGAAGAACAATCACTTACTTCTTTGGCTCTGACTTGCCTTTTCCCATGTGATAGGGTGGGTTGTAATTAAGATTATGTCTAGATGAAAAATTCCCATGTTTGGTGTTGCAATGTAGCTGATCTCATTCAGTACTTTTTCCAGCTATTGTACATAAAGAACAAGTCAAGAGTTGCTGCAGATTCCAAGAGATGCAGAGTTCTTGGGGAGTGCTGATACCTTCCTGTGGGCAAGTGAGAAAATTCAGGAAAATCGGATGAGATTTAGAAACCCCAAGTCCTTGTTAAGGTTGAGAGCTTTCAAATTGCTGTTGTGACTTTTGGGGTATTATTTTAAGGGATATTTTGTTCAGATCTCAGACCAGCCAGCAATCCTTGCCACACCCCGGCGAGGTTGGGCGGTTGAGGAACAGTCACAAGTTGCAGACAGTGAAACTGAGACAGAGAGGGGAGGTCACTGTCCTGAGGCCATTGAGGAAGTGTTGGAGATCAGACTGCTCGTGGTTTCTGGTGCTGTGCATAGCCTCATTAAACCCCTGGCTTTATCCCTGTCTCAGGAATGAGTCATTTTCTCTGCAGAAGCAGCACAGTTGATAGCTATTCCTGAGCTGTGACCTCAGGGGCTTCTCCCTTAGGATTTATTAAAGAAGTTTTCATTAAGGTCCGTCCTAGGTGATGGTTCGATCACCAACAAGGGGAGAACCCAAATGCTCAGTGCTGCATGGCAATGGATGTTTTGGTCCCTCTGCTGGATTTGTGGTGGAATAAGAAGCCTTTTCCTACAACTGAAGCACTGACCCCTTGGATTAAGGGATGCTGTGTGTGTTGACACCTTCCAGGAGTCAGTGGGTAATCTCTTTCTGTGTTGCTCCCACAGCCATGGTCGTCCTTGCTCAGGAACTGGAACAGCCTGGCAGTGACTCACCCTGGTTATATGGCATTCCTGACCTATGACGAGGTGAAGGCCAGGCTGCAGAAATTCATTCACAAACCTGGCAGGTTCGTGCTCAGCCTTTTGGATGATTCTTACTGACACCACTGATCGCTGTCCCCACTGAGCTGACATCTCAGCCCGTGCAGGAAGGGCCAGGTGGTCATTTCTGGGGGTTATGTGGCCAGTTCTGTGCTGCTTCTAGAAATGGAAACCTTGTCTAGTCCGCTTGTGGGTGTTTGTGTTTGTTGGGGTTTTTAAAGTTAACGTCAAACAGATGATTTTGAGGATGTTACCTTGTCCTGCTCTGCATTCTGGGTTTAATTTCACCTGCGTGCTTTTCTCGCCTCGTATCACATTGCCGAGTCCCCCTTTGATCTGCCTGGGGGTCAGCTGAGAAAAGCTGGTGTAAATCATCATTTTATTTGCTGTCTTGAGAGGGCCAGGCACAAAGGCTGCCTACCTGGCACTGAACCTCTCCTGTTTGCTCCGAGCTGAAGTTGCTTTCCCGTTGTGTGTTCTCAGTTACATTTTCCGCCTGAGCTGCACCCGCCTGGGGCAGTGGGCCATTGGCTACGTCACTGCAGATGGGAACATCCTTCAGACCATCCCCCACAACAAACCCCTGTTCCAGGCACTGATCGATGGCTTCAGGGAAGGCTTGTAAGTAACTTTGTTAAAATTCACACCTCGATTCCACAAAGGGGCTCAACTGGGAGCGGTCCCGTTGCTGCCAGTGCAGTAATTCAAATATTGAGCTATTTTGGCACAGCTGTCTTTGCTGCCCTCTGCAGTGGCAGGTGATAAATGTGCAGCAGTGTTTCCCCTGTCGTAGATCCCTTTTTAGTCAAGCCTTCAATTTGAGCAACAGTCACTGATATTATGGCATCAGTTTTCTTATTCTGGATATTACAATTATTATGTGTATATATTATATGTGATGATTTTAGAATAGTGTGAGATCATAACATCCTGTTTAAAATAAAAATGGCTGCCAGGAGGGACAACAAACTTCTTTTTATTTTGAAGAATAACATATTTGGGGTTTTTTTGGATCATCAAATTCTTCCAAAACCTTTTGAATTCAGAATACCTTGAATTCCCACCCCTCACTTCTCACCCTCATCCTTTCTTTCCTTCACCATCCCCAAAATACACCTGATTTCTGTATGTGTGTGTACATAAACATATACAGAGAGAGCTTTTTTCCCCCAACTTCTTCCAGTTATTTATTTCCTGATGGCCGGAATCAGAATCCTGACTTGACTGGCTTGTGTGAGCCCACACCTCAGGACCACATTAAAGTTACACAGGTGAGTAAAATATTCCATCCCATCAAACTGCCTGGCTTTATTCCCAATTTCTAGACTCATTTAACTATTCATACAATTCTGTCATTCTTGATAGGGTTTATTTTTAGAATGTTCTGCCCAATATCGATGCTTTTGTGCTATTCAGCATGTCTTGAGCCCTGCTTTTCTTGGGACACTTAAGTGAAAAATCGGGATAATTTGAAGTCCACTTTCTTCAGAGGTTGATACATAAAATTACAGTAAAATCTTTGCAGTCTTCTGTTCTCCTTGTTATTTTATGGCGTCACCCATGTCTGTCTGTCTGTCTGTCTGTCCCTAAGGAACAATATGAGCTGTACTGTGAGATGGGCTCCACGTTCCAGCTGTGTAAAATCTGTGCTGAGAACGACAAGGACGTGAAGATTGAACCTTGTGGCCACCTGATGTGCACGTCCTGCCTCACAGCGTGGCAGGTAAGGCATTTACCCTGCTCCCAGGGAAGCTCCTTGCTCTTCCACGCTCCAAACTGTGCAGTTCCCAGCAGGTATGGAGATAAAATAGCAGAGCTGAGGACTGGAGCTCGTAGCTCAGTAATATCAGGGCATCAGAAACAGTTTAGATGCTTAATCTGGAATAGGGAAGGCGTGTGAGAAGTTGCTAAGAAGCTGTTTTTTCTACTTCAGGGAGAAAACTCTCCATATCTGTAGCCCAGTTTGCCTTTGTCTCCCTGTCAGCTGGGAGGCACCTGCCAAAAAGCAGGTTTACACCTCACTGTGCATTAACCACGTGTGGAATTCCTGCATCCCAGCGGTGCTGTGACGGGTGTCTCGTGTTCCCTGCAGGAATCAGAGGGCCAGGGCTGTCCTTTCTGCCGCTGCGAGATCAAGGGCACCGAGCCCATCGTGGTGGATCCCTTCGACCCCCGAGGAGGAGGAGGATTGTCCCGGCAAGGGGCAGAAGGAACTCCCTCCCCCAGTTACGACGATGACGAGGATGACAAGGCTGATGATTCCCTCTTCATGATGAAAGAACTCGCTGGTAGCAAAGTAAGCTCCCTGGAGTGGGTGGCAGTAGGGCTGGCTGAGCATTTACCCAGCAGTTTCCTGTGGTTTTAGGGATTTGTGCCTGTGAGGGGTTGTCAAACCTTTTAAGAGAGAAGATCATTATGGAAAACAGGGATTTAGGTTCAGTTTGGTGAGTTCAGTTCACACTGTCAGTTTTATTAAACACTTGGAAGCCTCTGACCTCTTGTGTATTGAAAGAAGCCCTGGAAGGGTGAAAAGGGCTGGCCTGACCTGTGGGAATGGCAGATGTAGGTTTGGAACACTCCTCTGTGTGTTGGCCATGCTGCTTTTGATTTACCAGCCAGAGTTCACCCAGATCAGCACAAATCCACCCACATTTCCCCAGCCAGGCAGGCACAGCCTTCCCCAAGGTCCTGATGACTAACAGGGTAGAGGGCAGGCTGTTCTGCTGAGGAAGTCAATTTGACTGTCAGCTTTTTATATGGGGCCTGATAAATGTATACAATAAAGGTGTGATAACTCTGCTTCCCTCCAGGAGCTGTGTATGAGGCAGACATTTTTTAGGGATCCCTGTGTGGCTTTTTCCTAAAATCTCATTGCTGCTCTTGCATTGTTTTACTGCACAGGGAAGTGGGTTTGAATTTGGCTGATTTTTAATAGTCCAATCAACTGAAATAAGCTACCTTTTCTGGTCAGAAAGAATATTTTGCTCTGGCTTACCTGTAGTCTTATTTGTCTTTATCTTCCACCCTGTTAATTAGCACTAAACAGTAAACTATTCCTGGAGGTCGTTTATTTGTACACATCTGAGGGAAGCAAAGCAATTTCCTTGGTGAGACATCCTGTCAGGGTGTGGAGCAGGATGGTGCTCTGTTGGCTTTAGTGAGTTCAAACCCTTGTAAAGCTTTTCAAAGTTAGAAAGCACAAGCTTTGCTTGTAAAAAGAAGAAAAAAAAAAAACAAAGAGAAGAAGAGGCACTGTTTGGATTTGGGAGGTGGAAAAACATCTTTCCAGGGACAAAAATGGGGTGATGGCTGCACCAGCCCTGACACTGTATTGAGGCAGTTTGCACAGTGACAGTGGGTTTTGCAGCAGCTCGTGCCCTCTGGTGTCCAAAAGCAGCTTGTTCCTGCTCAGGCAGGTTTGTCACTCCAAGCAAACAGCTTGGCTTGTGTTGCTCAGGGTGTGTTTTCAGCTGTGCCTCACGGGGCTTGCTGCCAGTCAAATGCTCCTGTCCTGTGACGTTGCCTTCATTACCACTGGTGTAATTGTTAATCACAGAGTGGTTTGTCATCAATATTGACACCAGTCCGAGTCACAGGGATTTAAAGCCTGTCTAGAGGGAAGGAGCTCTGCTGGATCGAGTCATTTGTTGATTTTCCCCTTCTTCCCTGTCTCAGGTGGAGCGTCCTCCCTCTCCCTTCTCCGTGGCTCCACAGGCTGCCCTTCCTCCCGTGCCACCACGACTGGATCTCCTGCAGCAGCGAGTGTCCAACCCCCCCGGGGCCTCCAGTCCTGGCACCACTTCCAAGGTCAAACACACCTTTCGCCCTTTCAGCTCTGATTTTGGTGGGGCAGGCAGGGAGAAGAGCGTAATGAGGTTTTCTTCACAGTTTTTTTCCATCGAGCAATTTCTCAGATAACTAAGGAATTAAGCATGTGTGGCTGGGAGGAGTGAACTCAGGCTTTGTGGCTGATCAGCAGGAGGCAGTAGGATGATCTTGGTGGCATTTATGTGTTGGTTCTTGAGATACAGCAGCAGTTCTTCATCTGGTTTGGATGAAGCAATGAAATTATGACAGTCCAGGAAGAAGAAAATATCTATTTTTCAGAACATTCATTACTGACTGTTGGCTGTTAACTTGTATAAATACCCCACAGTTGAATCACTTTTTTAAAGATTTGGTAGGCTTTGTCTGGAATCCCATCTAATGCTGCTGTGAGCCCTTGTTGTCCTTCCAGAGAAAGAATGTGGGGTGTTTAGGGTGCAGTGCATGTAGCTGCTGTGTTATCTCTTCAAGCCTGTGGAGAAGGTGTGGGAGATATCTCCACATCCCCTGAGATAATTCCTTGGAAAAACAGATAACCCCCCCCCAAAACTCCCCCTCCCATTTCTGTTTCCTGGCTGGGCTGCCTGTGCTGAGCAATCTTTTGCATTCTTGTGCCCCGCAGGCCGGCCCTGGCGCTCTCCACAAGGACAAACCTCTGCCGATCCCCCCCACGCTGCGGGACCTCCCTCCGCCACCGCCGCCGGACAGGCCGCATCCCATGGGGAGCGAGGGGCGCCCTCAGAGGCGGCCCCTGCCCTGCACCCCGGGGGACAAGCCCCCCCCGGTGCCCTCCAACCGGCAGGGGGACCTGTGGCCGTCCAGGCCCATCCCCAAAGCCCCCCCTGTGGCTGTGAGCCCCGGGGACCCCTGGGCTGGCAGGGAACTGTCCAACAGGCACTCGCTTCCCTTCTCCCTGCCCTCCCAGGCGGACTCCAGGGCTGACAGCCACCGGCTCGGGAGCACCCTCAGCCTGGACAACCCAGGGGTGAGTAGACCTGGGGAAGCTGGGGGTGATCTGTGAGAAAAATCAGCCTTCAGGCACCCTCTGGTCGCTCTGAATAGGGTGGTCTTGTGCCAAGGGAGAGATGGAAAGGGACTGGTGGATGCCTGGCAAGGGAGGACTTCTTAGGGAAGTGCTTTTGTGTCTCTTGGGAGCAAGGCTGAAATGCCAGTTTCAGATGCATGATCATTGTTCCCCTTCCAGTTTTGGAAGGCTTTGGGAATGTTTTCCGTTGGGAGCTGGTGGGCTGAAAAAGCCTGATTTACTCTGCTGGTTTACACAGCAGCTGTGATGAATTTAACACAGTTTGGTTGGGATCTGTTAATGCACTGGACACTGCTACCAGTGGAGCTGAGGAGTCTCTGTTGTTCTCAAAAAAAAAAAAAAAAAAAAAAAAATTGCAGGCAGTTTTGCTTTCCTCGATTCCATTTCCTTAATTTTTGCTTTTAATATCTCCAGCTCTCTAAAATAGAAAGCGAGGACATTTTTAGCCAGATTAGGAGAATGACACTTGTACAGTTGCCATCCTGTCTCCCTGTGTGTGTGCTTGTCTACATCCTTTTCCTCTTGTCCCCCATTTTTGGCCTATTTCAGTTTACTTGGCCAAGGCCATTGGAATCTCAAAAGATAGGAAGTTCCTCCTGCAGGAAAATCCCTGTTTGTGTCCTCACTGAGGGAAAACTGTCACAGAAGTTCTGGATTTTTAAGTAAATGCTTTGGAATAAATGGAAGATGCTTCATTCCCACAGGGAATGTGCTGAATGACTGGCTTTGCAGCTGCAGTGGTATATGTGGTGTTTCTGATTCCTGTTTGGAATTCTTTTCTTTCAGAGCTCCAGCAGTGGTCCAGTAGCAACCTCAGAGTGTGAACACCCCAAAATTAAACCCTCCTCGTCTGCCAATGCCATCTACTCCTTAGCTGTCAGGTCTGTTGTTTTCTTTTATAATTTACAGAGTGGTGCTGGTGCCAGGGGCAGAATTTGACACAACTCTGTCAGCCTTTGTTTCATTCCTGACAGACTCACTCAAAACACACAGTCTGGGGAAAGCAGATGAAATCAGCATCCCAAAGAGCTGTGGGGAGTGGTGGTAGTTCCCCTTGGCTGTGGCAGTAGGAAACAGGCTCCAGTTGCCATCAGCTCTTCCATGAATCCACTTTTGAGCTGGGCTCTGTGTGAAGTGGGTGATGTGAATTTGTACGATCCTGTCACTTCCTTCTGCATAGTGACCTTGTGCCAGTGGGACCTTGAAGTCCTGAAAAGCACTTTATTGACTTAGACAGAATTGCTGTAACATGACCACACTGTGGATTTTAAAGGACACTTTGATAGTATTTAGATTTATTAGTATCTAAATGTCATATATATACATATGTGCATGATTTTCTGATGTTTATATCTGGTTTCTCCTGCCTCCAGACCACTGCCTGTACCAAAACTGCCTCCTGGGGAGCAGTCTGAGAGCGATGAGGACACTGAATACATGTCACCATCCTCCCTCCCTGTGGTGCCTCCAGGTTCTGCTGTACAAAAACCAGAGATCAAAATGCCTTTGGAAGTGACTCAGAGTTTACGGTGAGATTCTGTCACTGCTCTGGGACAGCACGTTTGGGCAGCAGGCTGGGGACTTGGCTTGCTTTGGTTGTCTGAATTCCCCCAGTGATAACCACCAGATCTAGGCTAAAATAGCTGTAAAGGAATTTTTTGCAGAGTCCTTGTGTAGCATTAAAGGAGCCAGATAACCCCTTCCCCCTCTCCCTGCTAATAACCTCTTGAGAGCAGAAACAACTGAAATTCAAAACTCAAAATGCAGCGTTTTGGTGGTATCAGTTGATCTATTTTGAGCTGAGATGCTGCACTCAGACATTATTAGAGCATTTTTCTGGAACAAATATTTCACAGGAGAGTGGTGATTTCGCTTTGAAACAAAATCCGTGCAGAATGTCAGTCACAGACACGAGAGTGGAGGTGGTGGCCACTGTCTCTGGTGCCAAGGGCAATGTGTTCTCTCCCTCAGAGTTTTGGACTGTGAGCAGCAGCCAGAGGGCTCCATGTATGAAGCAATGTACAACATTCACTCCCAAGCAGCATCCTCTGCTTTCGAGCCTGTCAACGCTTCTGGTGAGTGGGTGTGCTAGAAAACAACTGAGAAACTGGGGCACAATGGAGTGATCCCAGTTGGAGCAGCATTTTAGGCTGAACAGAGCAACATTTGCTTTTGTTGTTAAAATAGCTGTGGAAATATCTGGGTCTGTGTTCTGCATCTATCAAGTATTTTTAACCTGATGCTCCCTTCTGGAAGGAACTTCCACTGAAGGCGTGGTTGTAGCAGCAAAACTTTTAGTCCTGTGTCCTGTCAGTGTTTTTTTTGGGGGAACAGAGTCTGCTTGAGAGACCCTGAGTCCCAGAGCTCAGGATGTGTTCCTGTTCCTATTCCAGATGAAGGGGATCTGGCAGCAGCCACCACCAGCAACGGCCCTGAAGAGTCAGAGAATGAAGAGGATGGTTATGACGTCCCCAAACCGCCCCTCCCAGTTGCCATTGCTCGTCGCACACTGTCCGATATCTCCAATGCCACTCCTGCCTTCAGCCGAATGTCCTTGGAAAACGACCCTGGGACAGGTTAGAGGGCACTTACGGCTTTCCCTGCACGTTTGAGACTCGTGGCACCCACTGGAGATTTTGGGTGCAAGCTGTAAAGTCGGGTTTACAAGGCAGAATTACACTCACTCCTGGGTGTTTGGTTTGATTTACAGCCTGGAATGCACTGCCTTGGTCATTTAATCACTGAGCTAGAGAATCACTTTGAAATCACAATTAGAAAAAGCCTTTCCTGAGCTTAAGAAACATTCCTTAAGCCACTGTGCTTTTATACCAGGGTGTATACCATGGGTGTACTCATCCCTGGAAGTGTCTGAGGCCAGGTTGGAGCAACCTGGGCTAGTGGAAGGTGGGTGGAACGAGATGAGCTTTAAGATCCCTTCCAACCCAAACCATTGTGTGATTCTATCCCCGTTCCAGGTGAAAGATGCCAGTGCTGGCCTTGCACAGCATGTGCCTCAGTGCCTGCAGATGGCACAAGTGTTCTGTCTGATGCTCTCAGTTCCTCTGAGCAGGGACCCAGTGGCTCAGCAAGGTCAGCTTTTTCTCCCCGGGGAGTAGAGGACATCGTGTCCTTCTGGCTGCAAGGCACATTCTCAGAGGGGAAAAGAACTAAAGCCTCATTTCTCCAAGAGCCTTTCTGAATAATGCATGACTTATTCCCTACAACTGCCCAGCAACTCTTAAGGAAGCTCTGAAAAACTTCCTGTTGGGGGGCTTTCAGCATGTTTGAACGTGCTGGTGATTTGCCAAGAGAGAGGAATGAGTTTCTTGTTCCTCCTGGAGGCAGAGCCACTTCCCCCAGTGAGTCTTCTGTTCATTTGCTTCACCATTCTCCTTCCCTGAGCTTGTCCTTCAGCAGAGGAGAGTTTCCTAGTGCAGAGAAGTTCATTAGGCTTCTGCCACTCCTCCCTGCCTCCCTTTTTGAGCCTGTCACTGTGTCTGGAGAATGTGGCTGAAAGGGATGGGAAGGGACAGAGAGGGAGTCACATCCCCCTCCCAGATGAAGTGCTCAGCTTAGTCGTTGACACCTCTTTGTTTTGACAGCCCTGAAATAACAGTGCTGTTGTCCTGCCTCGGTGTTAGGAGATCTGCTAATGGAAAATGTGGGAGTGCTGATTGTTGCTGCTGTGGGAAGCACAGGCACTGTGCAAGCAAGCCTGACCAGTGTGGGATACATCTTGGCAGATTTGTGTTCTCGTGCCTTGTGCCCTGCAGTTTGGTTTATTAATCATTTACCAAAAAAGCTGTCTTGGTAGTTGTCCTTTCAGATTGACCTGTGGTCTCTGAAATTTGATCCAGCTCAAGCTGAAACAGCTATTTCTCAAAAGGCAGTTCAGGGGAGAGAAGTGGGTAGACCTTTTTGTTACATGCACAAAAAGCTTTTTATGTGTGAGAAGCTTGTCCTGGGAACATCAGTGAGCTGAACTGCCTTGTGGTAAGTGAGGAAGGCTCAGGGAATTTGTTTCCTGAAGAGCCTTCTCTATCTTAGTGCTTTTGGTGCAAGTTTTTCAGAAAGGCCCCACAATGGTGCTTCTCTGAGCAGGACTGCAGTGCCCACTCTTAAAAATGGATTTTTGGGATGTGATTTGTCTGTTGTGCTGCTAGAAAACTCCAGAGAATGCCCTGAGGAGTTTTTCCAGAAGACAAATAAGACTTTCTGTAAGGTGATGTCAGATATCTACACAGAAAAGCTTCCTGTGATGGGCAAAAAGTGCTTTCTGCAGTGATGCAGGAGGTGAGAACTCCACAATGACCACATTAACACACAGAGTGAGGTGTTTTTGCCTTGGGGAGTTTGGTGACTCGTTTGGTTTATTGGCTATTCTTTTCCCTTCCCAGAAGGGCATGATGTGGCTGCTGGGCACTGTCTCATCTGAATGACTAAGGGAAAGGCAGAACAGGCTGAGCTTATATTGATCTGCCCTGGCTGCAGCCATCAGGCAGGGTGAGCTCCAGCAGGGGGACAGGAGATCATCACTCAGCTGCTGACCCTTCAGAGAGCATAATTCAGTTGCTGGAGCGTTTGTGGTGGCTGAGTTGTGACTGATAGAGCTGGCAGTGTGCACACACTCCCTCAGCGCTCTGCAGCGGGCACAGCAGGTCTGAGAGGAGAGGTCAGCTCAGCTGGGGGGGTTCTGTCTCATTCCAGAAGGAAATGGGATGTTTGGTAAAGAGTTGCATATTCTCTCTGTCACTTTTTTCCCAGCAAGTCTCTGCTTCTTATTCCAAGGCTAATACCTGAGCTCTGCTCACACACATTGAACCCATGCCATTTTTTGATATTTATGTGGTCTTATCCTAATGAATGAGCCTGATGTGACTTGCTGGTTAAAAACATCTCCATACAGCAGTTTTTGCACACAGGAGGGGAAGCTGAGCTGGTTGGAAGGAAGGATGAGCTGGCTGGAAGGAAGGATGAGCTGGTTGGAAGGAAGGATGAGCTGACTGGAGAAAGCGCCAGAGCTCAGCGACAGGTTTTCTGAAGTGCCATTTATCAGCCTAATGTCATTCCCTCTTTATTGCAAGCCAAAACTGCATGCCCTTGTTTCAAGTGCTGCCTTTGTTTCTCCTTCCAGGATTTTCAGATGGCTCCCAAGTTCCAGAGAGGCCGCCAAAGCCGCTGCCCCGGCGGATAAATTCCGAGCGGAAAGCCGGGAGCTGCCAAGCAGGAGGAGCCAGCAGTGGGGCCAGCTCATCCCTGCAGCTCTCCAGCGAGATCGAGAACCTCATGAGCCAAGGCTACTCATATCAGGACATTCAGAAAGCCCTGCTCATTGCACATAACAATATTGAGATGGCCAAGAATATTCTCCGGGAGTTCGTCTCCATTTCCTCCCCCGCTCACGTGGCCACATAGCACAGGACACCTCCACACCTACAGCTTCTGTGGACCAACTGCCTGGGCAGCTGTGGCCCAGCTGTGCACCAAAGGGGAAGGGGGTTCCTTTAGAGACTTCGTGCTGAGGTCAGTCCTGCCTCTCAAAGAGAATCAGTTGTCAGGTTTTTTGTGGTTCCAGATTTCAAAGCAGAGGAATGAACCGGAGCAGAGTGGTGTTTTATACGGTGTATGTCTTGGAGTCCTTTACCCCTACCTCTTGTCTGGGAGAACAGATTTATTTCCAGGGTGTCGGTGGAGAAAAGTGTCGTGACAAGGGACCCCCAGGCCCATGCCCTGGAGGCCGTGGGGGAGTGTTTTGTGCTGTGAATTTTACGTGAATGCTCAGAGAAACAAGAGTCTCGAGGTCGGTGTGGTGTGTCCTGTGGTTCATGGTACTAGGTTTGGATCTGTTCGCTGCTGTGTGTCTGGCTCAGGCTTTTTAGAGCAGCTGGGAGGTCACTTTCTGCTGGGAATAAATAGGAGACCTTGGAAGAATCGCTTGATTGCTTCCTCTTTGCCACGGTGTGTCCCTCTTGCCTGTAATAACAGCAGTTATTGCTTGTGATTCCAGCCCTCCCTTGCTGTCTGGAGGTAGCAGGACCGGCTCCTGTCAGGGCTTTTGATCCTGGCAGTGCTGGGAGTTGGATTTCCCTCGTGTGTGTGTGCCCTCTTGCAGCACTGGCAGCACCAGATTCCAGGCAGCTGGAAGTGCCAGGAGTTCAGAGGGGTGGGAAGACTTTGAGTGAGAGCAAAAAATTGGCTGCTGCTTCTCCTCCTTTTTTTTTAGCCTTGAGCATTTTGTGCTTCAGTGCTCAGACTTTGCCTGTGGCCCTGCTGGGCTCGAGCAGCCGTCACCAGACACCCTTTCCTAGGAATGTTGCACCTGGTGAATATGATGTTTTATTTATCTTAATTGCATGGTGGCTGTTGCAGACTTAGTGGCCTTCACTCACATCCCATCACCTCCTTCAGAGAGCTTTTGCAGGAGCCATCTTCGTGCCAGGGTGTGTTGTGGAATTGGTAGATGCAGCTGATGTGTTTGTTGGGTATCTCACCTGCTTTGCAGTAAAAGAAATTGCAGCAGTTCCTCCTGCATGGCTGTCAAAAAAAAAAAACCAAACAAAAAACGACATGGGGGGGCTCTTCTTTCCATTCCCATTGCTCTCAAGGCATTGCCAGATCTCGTGTTCAAACAGACCTGGGCAAATTCTGTGTTTGTGGAATGATCCTGTGGCTTTAAAGGTCAGAAGTCAGCTGTTAGCGTTGGAAAAACCCTGACTTGCAGACTCAGCTTCTTAACCCTGTTCGTGCAGGAGGAGTGGACGGTTCCTTTGGAGAGGATTTAAGTCAGGGAGGCATTCACAGGTCCCAGCTGACAGACTGTGCACAGGGAGAGAGGCCTTTGGAGCGTGTCCAGCATTATTTGCCTCTCTCCAAGGTCAGCAGGGGTCAGGAGGCAAAGGGCTGCAGCTTGGAATATTGCTGGAGTGATTCTGGCACTTGGATGCAGTTTGGCCTTTTGAAGAATCCAGAGGCTGGGCCCAGATCTCAGCCAAATGGCTGCAGTTGGCAGAGAGGAGTTAACAAGTGTTTGCAGAGGGAATTGAGCATAAAATGTGGTTGTTTTTTTTTTATTAAAGTAGAGGTTTCCCTGTGGACCTGCAGCTGTGTGAATCGGTGCAGTGGGTTCCAGGCAGTTGGAACTGTCTCTCTTTACTCCCCTCCCTTCTTGTAGTAAAGAGAACATTCTCAGAAACCGTAAGGGGATCTCCTGCAGCACTTGGAGGCCACCACCACGTGCTATTTCGGGGCCAGGGCTGAGAGTTGCCAGTGCTGCAGCCCGGGGAGATTGATGGCATGGGCACAGGGCTGTGCAGGGTGCAGAGGGGGCAGGCACAGCCCCGAGCTGGGGCCCTGGGGAAGGTGCTGAGTTGTGGTGTCAGCGCCTCTTGCACTCGAGGAGGAAGAGCTGTTCTTCCTCTTGTACCCACTTCCTCTGCCACTGTGGCTGTGGGAGCTCCTGGAGGAGCATTTCCAGTGGCAGGAACGGGCAGCTCTGGCTGTTGTCCCACGCTGGGGAGCCTGAGCAGCCAGTCCTGACAGTTTTTTGTCTGTCCTGGAGATCCAGGCAAACCCTTCTGTGAGGGAGCACTGTGGTTTTGCTTTCCCTCTTTCTCACCCTCCCCCCTCCGGTGCTGCCACCCCAGCCCCGTGTTGGTTTGGAGCCACTTTGTGTCTGACCTGCTGTGTGAACTCAGTGCCAGTGTGTCCAAGGGTGACATGTGGCTCTTGCCACTGCCCAGGCTGTGCCAGAGCCCAGTCCAGCCAGCTCCAAAGCCTTAACTCTCGTCTTGCACAGTGTGTGTGTGCTCAGACTGGTGATGATGCCCTGTCCCTTTCATGGCAGGGCTGGTTGTAAATGTTCCATGAAATCCTGCCTGGCAGAGCAGTTCCAGGCCTGTCTTTGGGGTTTATGTGCCAAGAGAGACCTTCCCCTGGGTGTTGTTCTGGCTGTTAGAGATTAGAGAGGGCAATCTTTTTGTGGCATGTATCACTGATTTTTCTGCATGTGTCCTTTCTGTGCACTGTTTTTGTGTCTCGAGCTGATTTAGGAAACTTTTAAGTCTTGGCTTTTCTTCCTTAGACGTGAAAGGATTTGCTGATTCCTCTGGGTGCAGCCATGTCTTGTGGCTGTGCTCTGCCAGGTCAGTCCAGCCACTGCACAGTGGATTATTCCTGGGGTTTTTTTCAGCCCAAGATTGATTGCTCTTCTTTCCCTTCACCTCCTTGCTCTTTATCCTTAAGGAGTTAACTTTCTGATGCTACTTTAAAAAAGGAAAAACAAACACAAAACCCAACCCCAATGTCTAGTGCCTTTCTTAAGGGAACGCTGCATCCAGCCAGGCTGCATCCAGGAACCCACCCCTGTGGGAAAACGAGGAGCTGGGCAAGCTGCAAAGGCGCCTTTGGGCACGAAAGGGGTGGAAAGAAGGAGCAGGAGAGATGGGCGAGTGTCAGCGAGTGCCACTTCAACCCTGCCGCTGCCTTCTGGAGCATTTCAACCGCGGAGCTTTCGTGCCGAGCCGGGAGAATTGAGGAGGATCCAGGGCATGACTGGTGGAAGAAAAGGCTGGTTTGGCCCTTTGTCTGCCCCCAGAACGGGCAGCAAACCCTCTGAGCGGGCAGTGGGAGCTGGGGAGGGGTGGGCACAGTGGGGTGGAGCAGGAATCCCAAATGTTTCCCTGTAAACCCCCCCGGTGTGCACATCCTGCCCCAACCTTCCCTCTGGAGGCTCGAGCACAGCACGTGGCTCCCTGCACCAGGCTGGGGACATTCCTGTAGCCAGTCCCAAGGCAGGGTCATTACTGTAAATGGGGGGGTTGTTTATTTTATTTTGTTTTGTTTTATTTTATTTTATTTTGTTTTGTTTTATTTTATTTTATTTTTCAACCTGGGGCGCTTCGTCCGAGGTGCCGTTTTGAAAAGATCGGTGGAAAATAATTACATTTATTTTCACAGTTCCTCACAGAAATGCTCTTTTTCTTTTTTTTAAAATTCCCAGCTGAGGAGGAACTGTTGTTGCTGTCGTTCCTTTTCTCTCGAAAAATCCCAATTTGTAAAATATCAGTGTTAAAAAAAAAAATATAAAAAAATAAAAAAAATGTTGAGATTTTCACGGAATATTTTAAAAAAATAAAAAGTATAATAGTGTCATTAATATAAAATTATAATAGCAGTATTTAATCCTTTCAGATCTGTAAAGAATAAGGAAAAACAGAAGGTAAATATTCTTACAGAGAGTAGCTGAGCTTTAAGGTTCACTTGGTTTAAAGTCCTCATTTTGTTTGCAGATGCATTGTTAATGTTTAGAGGTTATACTAATGTTATTTATTAATTGTTTCCATTCTTGTATGCTGCCCACTAAGAGCTTCTTTGTTTGGGATTTCATTCACCTGTGTCAGTAAAAAAAAAAAAAAAAAAAAAAGAAAAAAGAAAACAAAACAAAGTTTTATTTTTAAATAAAATTTCCTTTGTTGTAGCACATGGTGTGTGTTGTGTTGGTTTTGTGAGTCCTGGGAAGAAGAATCTCCTGCTCCAGCCTGAGATGTTCAGTCTCCTGCATCTGTTTTATATTTTATATCTATATATAAAATAAATATATAAAAATATATATATTTAGTTTATATATAATTTTTATATATTTATTTGTATTTTTATATTTATATACAAATATAAAATATCTATATATAGATATAAAATATATACTTTTTATAGAGAGATATATAAAATGGATACTATAGATATTTTATATATAGATATGAAATACTCTTAAATACTCATATATATATATATAAAGTAGATACTCTTTTTTATATAGAGATTTGAAATAGCTATTTTATAACTATTACCACAATTATCTGTTAAATTCAAGTGGATGCTGACAAACAGAGGGAGGAAAGATTTACACAAATTTCATCCTACTAAAACATATTTTAAGGGAATCAATGAGCAAAATCTATGATCCATCAGGACCAAGAAGGGCATTGACAGGTTGGGGGTTTTTTTAACACTGCATAGCATTTGTAGAATTATATACAATATAACTTAATGTAGGATATATTCTGAAAAATTGGATTTTGGGGTCAAATGAATTCACAGAGGGGTTACTTGAGGGTCTTTTGGGTCTCTGATAATTGGACCAGGGGTCAATGAGTTCATTTTGGGGTTACTTGAGGTCATTTGGGTCTGAAAAATTGAATTTTGGGGTCAATGAGTTCATTTTGGGGTTACTTGAGGTCATTTGGGTCTCTGATAATTGGACCAGGGGTCAATGAGTTCATTTTGGGGTTACTTGAGGTCATTTTAGTCTGAAAAATCGAATTTTGGGGTCAAATGAGGTCACAGAGGGGTTACTTGAGGTCATTTGGGTCTCTGATAATTGGACCAGGGGTCAATGAGTTCATTTTGGGGTTACTTGAGGTCATTTGGGTCTGAAAACTTGAATTTTGGGGTCAAATGAGTTCATTTTGGGGTTACTTGAGGTCATTTGGGTCTGAAAACTTGAATTTTGGGGTCAAATGAGTTCACTTTGGGGTTACTTGAGGTCATTTGGGTCTCTGATAATTGGACCAGGGGTCAATGAGTTCATTTTGGGGTTACTTGAGGTCATTTTAGTCTGAAAAATCGAATTTTGGGGTCAAGTGAGTTCATTTTGGGGTTACTTGGGGTCATTTCAGTCTGGAAAATTGGATTTTGGGGTCAAATGAGTTCACAGAGGGGTTACTTGAGGTCATTTGGGTCTCTGATAATTGGACCAGGGGTCAATGAGTTCATTTTGGGGTTACTTGAGGTCATTTGGGCCTGAAAAATTGTATTTTGGGGTCAAATGAGGTCACAGAGGGGTTACTTGAGGTCATTTGGGTCTCTGATAATTGGACCAGGGGTCAATGAGTTCATTTTGGGGTTACTTGAGGTCATTTCAGTCTGAAAAATTGGATTTTGGGGTCAAATGAGTTCATTTTGGGGTTACTTGAGGTCATTTGGGTCTCTGATAATTGGACCAGGGGTCAATGAGTTCATTTTGGGGTTACTTGAGGTCATTTCAGTCTGAAAACTTGAATTTTGGGGTCAAATGAGTTCATTTTGGGGTTACTTGAGGTCATTTGGGTCTCTGATAATTGGACCAGGGGTCAATGAGTTCATTTTGGGGTTACTTGAGGTCATTTGGGCCTGAAAAATTGTATTTTGGGGTCAAATGAGGTCACAGAGGGGTTACTTGAGGTCATTTGGGTCTCTGATAATTGGACCAGGGGTCAATGAGTTCATTTTGGGGTTACTTGAGGTCATTTCAGTCTGAAAAATCGAATTTTGGGATCAAATGAGGTCACAGAGGGGTTACTTGAGGTCATTTGGGTCTCTGATAATTGGACATGGGGTCAATGAGTTCATTTTGGGTTTACTTGAGGTCATTTCAGTCTGAAAACTTGAATTTTGGGGTCAATGAGTTCATTTTGGTGTTACTTGAGGTCATTTCGGTCTGAAAAAATTGAATTTTGGGGTCAAATGAGTTCATTTAGGGGTTACTTGAGGTCATTTGGGTCTGAAAAATTGAATTTTGGGGTCCAATGAAGTCCCAGAGGGGTCTCTTGATGTCATTGCAGTCCCTGGTCGTTGTTCCAGAGCTCCACTCTGGGCTCAGGGGTTCAGAGAGGGCTCCAAGGGGTTAATTATTAATATCAGAATGAGAGGGTTCACGTGGATGCAGCGGGTCCAGGAGTGTCAGCCCCTGAGATGCAGTCCGAGGTCTAAGGTCTGATTTTATTAATATTTAATTAGCAATATCAGTTCCTTAGTTTTATTAGCACGCCCTAGAGCTGTTGTCACCGTTCTGGGACAGATCCAGGTCCCGCTGCAGCATCAGAATTTATTTATTTGGGTCTTCTTATTGTCTGCCAGAGCCTGAAGATGCAATTCTCTGATGGAGTTCTAATGCTGCAATTATTGAGGAATAACCCCCAGCTATTTCAGCCAGTGTTGTGTCTATTAAAATCTAACAGGTCTCTAATAAGCACTTGCAATGGCTGGTCCTAAAATTATCTGTCAGAGTGTATTTGCAGATTTATTGGTGTCTAAAAGAGCTGACACTAAGATCTTTTCTTGTATAACCTGCCAGAGTCTAATAATATTGTTATTCATTAAGTAGTTAATGTAGGTAGAAATATAATAGTTTAGCACAATGTGTAACAGAATCCACTTGGAATTATCAGTGGTAGTTATTAGTGCAATTATCTATTAGAATTATTAGAACACTTAGCAGCTAGAAATACAATTCTGTATTATAACTTGTTCTATTGAAAGATTCTCATAATCACATCATAATATTAAAATTCTCTATTAAAAGCTATTAATGTCAGCAACTAATAAATGAACTACCAATTTGTATTTAGTCTTCATACTAGTTATTGCCATCAATTAAAAATTATCAATTAAATATAAGATAAATTATATATATTATGTATATTATATATTATATATTATATTATACATTATATAATATATATTATATATAAGATATATTATCAATAAGATATATTTTCAATAAAAATGTGTATTTCAATAAAAAGATATATTTTCAATAAAATATATTATCAGTAAGACACTGGGAACTAAAGTAGCTAAGATATGAATAACAGTATCTGTTAAATTCTTCAAGGGAAAAAGCATTAATATTTATTAGTACCTATGGTGGCTAATTAATACAATTATCTAATGTCTTGGTTCTGTCAGAATAAATCAATTCCATCAGAACAAATCAATCTAGTTATTGATTTATCTGCTATAATAGGTATTTATATTGGCTATTGATATAACTATTAGTATCTATATTAGCTATTAAATCAACTATTAGTAGTTTCTACAGTTGGGATCTGCTGAATTTTATTGTCAATATTCTCTTTTAGTACCTACCACCACTTGTAGCATAATCCCATATTGCCATCTAAAGCTCTGATTATCTACTAGAATAATTAGTAGATTTATTAGTACTGATAGTCACTGGTGTATTACATTTATCAGCAGCTACAGGGGCATAAATATCTCGTGTTAGAGCCTTGGTGGGATTGAGGAATGATGGGGGAGACCCCTCTGCCCCTCCCACCCCCAGGGTGGGGGGAACAAACTCCGAACTCAGCCTTGAATTTGTACTTTATTTTCACATATATATATATATAAAAAAAAAACAAAAACCAAAACAAAACAAAAACAAAACCTTGCAAGTATCAGACAAAACTTCTGGAAAATGTACACACGAGTCCAACAAAAATATATATATATATATATATAAACCAAAGCTTTTGCTGGGACACCACGTGGAGCAGGCGGTGGCACAGGGACGGTGCTCCTGGCACGCAGGGGCCAAGGCTGGCGGGCACCAGAGCTCTGGGGACGGGCATTGAGAGGCAGCAGAGAGAGCCACAGCTGCGGGTGGAAGGCTGGCACAGCCCGTGGCACGAGCTAAAGGCACGTTCTCGCCCCTGTGCCCTCCCCAGCAGCCTGGCCGCGGGGCCAGAGGTGCCACCAAAGCACAGCAATAAACCAATTTTACCCGGGGCTGGCAAGACAAATAAAAACCCTGAGACATCACTGACTGGCCCTGGTCTAGAGCTAGTTGGAAATTTGAAAATAGGGGGCTGCTGTGCAGGCCCCCCTAAAAAAAAAAACACCAATTCAAACCAGACAAGCTGGGTCTGGCACGTGCCTGGAGAGAGATGGGCACCCCACCCTGGCTCTGCCAGCTCCTCTCGTCCTGTCGGGGAGCTCCCTCCCTGCACGGCACCGCCCGGGCTTAACCGAGACAGGAACAGCTCAAAGGCAAAGCAAAGCACGAAAACCTCCCCCAAACGCCGCCCTAACCCACCCCATGCCCGCTGCTCCTCCTCTAACCTGCTCACCACCACAGCTGAGGTGCCTGGCACGTCCCAAAAATCCCAAAAATCCCATCTCGACAGCCTCTCTGAGCGAGGTCGGGGTGAAAAAATAAAAAAACCAACAAACCCACGCATGAAACCCTTCCCCACACACATGTACAGAACAGATTACCTGGGGATGGGGAGGGGAGGGAAAAAAAAAAAGCCTCAAATCCTTCCACCAAGTAGCTTAACGGGATATTTCTTCCTAATATTGCTGTGGCTTCTCTGGAGTAGTAAAAGCAAGTCCAGCTTTGCTAAGGCAACGCCTGCAAGCCCACGGCTGAGGTAACGGAGGGGCAGGGCAGGGAGGTGTCCCCTGCATGCTGGGGCTCAGCACTGTGACACACCAGTGGTCTCTGGCCGTGCCCCCCCAGGTGCTGGATGGAGCAGGGGTGGGAGAAGGCAATCCAAGAGCAGGAAAGGTTTTGAAGGCAGAAAGCACTTGGTGGGTTTCCTCTCTAGTTCCTCAGATCGATGTATTTCTCGCTCTTCAGACGGGACGAAAGAGAGGGGGGAAAAAAACAAGCAATTAGGGATGGACACGAGCTCAGATCCTCTGCTGTCAGTGTGTTGGTGACACACCCAAAGTGACAGGGGACAACTGCCAGCCTGGGCCACCCCAGCGTGGCCGAGCACCCACCCCACGGTCAGGGGAGGGACGAGCTGCGCAGGCACAACCAGGGATTAACTCTTGGCCCAAGTCAAAGTGGGCTCAGGTGCTGCATCCTGTGGCTCCACAGCGTGGCAGGCCCTGCCTTAGCACGGTGCTGGCCCAGCCCTGGCACTGGGAACCGCTGCTCAATCCACCCCAGGTGACAGGAAAGCCCGTGGGCTCAGGGATTCATCTCAGGGATGCTGAGCAGGACCCACTCCTGCAGCCCCTGCCTTGACTCCTGGCCAGAGATGTTTGTGTAGTTCCTACTCCCAAAGGCCCCCTGGAGAGCCTGGAAGGAGGCAGAGCCAAGCAGAGCAGCGTGCTCCCAGGAGGTGCCAGGGGCTGGCACGCAGCAGAGCTGCCCACGTGTCCCTGGGGCTGAGATCCCTGTTTTCTCCCCTCCCCTCCCTTCCCACGGCCCCTCCGAGCGCTGGTGATGGATGATGGAGGCCCATGCAGGGTGGGCAGTGCTGGGAGGGGAGCAAAGCATTACCTGGATCACCCTCATCCCTGCTCAGCTCCGCTCCCAGCCCCGGGAGCAGCCCTGGCCCTGGGAAGAGGGCAGTGCCCGATGCCCGGTCCTACCTGGTCAGCGCCGGGTCTCTTCTGGCCGTTGGCGCCCTGCAGGAGCCCCGCCTCTTCGGGAAGTTTATCTGACTTAACTTCAACTACAATCTTGTCTTTACGTGCCTCTGGCCTTGTGCTAGGGGAGGGAGGGAGGTGACAGTTTTTGAGACACGGTCTGGCGGTACCAAAGAGGGGCGACGTGGCCAAGCCCCGGGGCTCCGTCTCGGGGGGGACGCTCTGGAGTGGGGTCGGGGCGAGAGAAGCTCCGGCTCTCAGGACGCTTTGGCCGCCCAGCCCCTCCCTGGGGAGGGCACCCTCGGCTGCTCTACCACTCTGCTGTCCTCTCACGGCCTCCCTGCACGGCCGGGGCGAGCAGTGCCCTGTGGGAAGCTGGAGAAGCTGCCAAGCCCCCCGTGCGATGCCCAAACACCCCCCAGGCTGTTCCCCCCTCACTGTGCAGGGAGCAGCTGGTGCAGTGGGATGGGAAGCACAATGAGCGATGGCAGGAAGCAGCCCTGGCCCCGTGGGCTCCCCGGGGGGGCGGGTGGCAGTGCTTACATGTCCTGCTTCCCAGCGCGGCCACACGGGATCTTGCCTTTCTTGTGCAGGAAGTAGATGACGGCGCCCAGCACGGCCACCACCAGGATGGCCACGATGATGGCCACGATGATCACCCCCTGGCTCTCTGCTGTTGTCTTTTGATCTGAACACGGGCAGGGGAGGGAGAAATCAATGCCTGCCCCACCGCGGTGCCCTCTCTGTGGGCAAGGAAAGGATCCCTCCCCCGGTTCCCAGCGCTTCCCCAGCTCCCAGCAGGATGCAGATCCCGGGACAGAAAAGCTCTGTATGCACACAGTCTGCCCTGGGATGCCACGCCCCACGTGCCACAGGAGGGTGGGTAACAGGGATTCCTGCAAGGCACCAGGGCCATCCCTTTGCTGCCTTGCCCAGCAGGGTCTGGGCTGCAGGGTGAGGTGGGTGAGGGCAAGCAGGCAGCTCTGCCACCGCTGGGAACAGTCCCTGCTTCCCTCCCTGCTCGGCAGGGAGAGGAGCAGCGATAGATGCAGCCCAGAGCCAGCAGCCAAGCTCCCCCCCCCAGGCTACATAACGTGACTCCTGCCAGAGCCTGGGCTGATGGACACCATCAGCAGACTGACCTTTCCTGACAGACTCCACTGGAAGAGCAGGAGGGGAGAGAAAGAGCGAGCTCAGCCCCGCCAGTGCCCGAGAGAGGGGCACTGGCACAGCTTGGGGGGGGTTCCTGGGGCGCAGAGCAGTGCCAGGCACTCACCCAGCAGCTGGATGTGCTTCTCGCTGACCCCCAGCTCGTTGGAGACGCGGCACTTGGCCCCGGCCCTCAGGAGGTCGTGGCTCACACGCACCGTCAGGTTGCTGGCGATGTGCTGGTTGTCAACGTACTCGTGAGCCTGGGCAGGGGAGGCAGGGCAGGGTTCAGCACCTGAGCCCCTCACAGGGACCTGATGCCTTAAAATCTGCGTTGTATCAGGTTTTAGCACGGCTCATCAGCGCCTTCAGCTTGCTAAGTACCTTCTTCAGCTTGCTAAGTACCTTCTTCAGCTTGCTAAGTACCTTTGCTTTGTTTCTAAAAACGCTGTTTAACATTCCCATCAAGAATTCCAGCGGACAAAGAGGTTTCAGCAAGGTGGAGAAAGAGGCACAACAGAGAACATGACACCTGACACAACCAGGCAAAGCTATTCACGAGCCTTGAAACCATTCCAGGAGGTGTGATGCTGTGCCAAGGAGCACGGAACAAGACGAGGAAGACGGGAGATAAGGGGTCTTTGGGACCTCTGACTCGAATTTGGGAGGCGTGGTAGTAAAGGAGGGATGGTTTTGGAGGTGGGTGTGACAGAATGAGGTAATGCTTTGCATTATTAATCAGGTGAGTAAATAAAATCAAGGGGCTTTGGGAACTCCGTGTGCACGCTTGGGAAGAAATCAGATTCTTGTACCCCCGCTGTCGTAACAATAACAGAAGTTTTGCCTGGCAGGCCGAGCGTTGGGAGTTTTCTTTCAAGAGCCTGGACCCAATTCCCCAGCTCTCACCGTGCCATTGACGTTCCAGCGGACAGAGGGCCGGGGGAAGGCGATGGCCTTGCAGGTCAGGTTCACCACCTCGTCCTGCCGCACGTACAGCGGGGAGCTGCTGATGGCCACGATCCGCGGCTTGCCTGGGGAAACAGGAGTTCCCTCCATCAGCCTTCACCTGCACCTGATGCCCTAAACTCTGTATATTATGTAAAATTTCAGCACAGCTCTTCTGGCATAGCACTTTTAGCCCACTAAGCACAGCTGTATTACACTCCTAAAACACTGCTCACCAACGTTTCTGGGTGAGGGTTCCAACAGGCAAAAGTTTCTGCAGGGTGAAAAACATTTTATCTGTTAGAAAATGTCCCCAGAGTAAGACAGAGCAGGGTCACTCCACTTGATATAACCAAGTCAAAACTTGAAGAAGCCTTGAAGCTGTTCCAAGGAGGACAGAGATGATGATAAGGAGGAGGATGGGGATGAAGGGGTGGTTGTTTTGCGACCACTGACTCAAATTTGGGAGGCGTGGTGAGGGTGGGATGATGGCACGGGCAGTTTTGGGGCTGGGTGCAACCAATGAGGTAATGTCTAGTGTTATAATTCAATGGTGTTATAAAAGTTGTAAAGGTCTGTGCTGTTGGGGTGTGCAGTACAAATTAAAAATTTGTGCCACAATTAAAGAGCTGTTTTCCACCTTTCTACGCTCAAAACTGTCCAGAGAATTATTTCTGATTTTAGGTAGCACCCCCACTCCAGCTCTTACCCTGGACAGCCACGGACACCTGCTTGCTCTGCTCCAGCCCTGGCACGCTCGGGGCCACCACCTTGCAGCTGAAGTTGTTGGAGGTCTCGAAGGTGAGGTTTTTCAGGGTGAGCTGCTTCCCTTCCGCCACCATCCTGCCCTGTTGGGAAGGGAGACCCCCAGCCATCAGCCCCAGGCACTTCTGTGCTCAGCTCACACAGGGGCTCAGGCCTCCCTGCCACGCTCAGCCTGCAAGCACAGGACCTCCCTGCAGTGCTGGCCAGGAGGCAACGAGGTAGAGAGGGACAGTGCAGGTCCATGGAAGTGGAAATCCTTCCCCTGGCCTCTCAGGAGAGATGGAGCAAGCTCCTGACCCTGCAGCAAGCTCCTGACTCTGCCCAGTTTGCTGCAAAGCCCAGGCTGAGCCTGAGCACGACAGAACCCTGCCCACCTTCTTGTCAATCCACTGGTAGTTCAGGGCCACGGGGCTGTGGGCATTGCAGCTCAGGGTCACATTGTCCCCTTCCTGAAGGGAGGAGGACGGCTCCATCTTCACACGGACCCCTTCGATGTCTGGGAGAGGGATGGAGAGCAGGGCAGGGTGAGCAGGAGGCACGAGGCACCCGCCACGGGGTCCACAGGGTCCCACCCGGCTGTCTTACAGTTCACAACAAGCTCCACAATCTTCTCTAGCTCTTTCATGTCATCCAGGTCCAGGCTCTGGCATTTGTAGACGCCACTGCTGCTCTTGTTCACGCCGTGCAGGGTCAGGACCCCGCTGTTGGGGTCTGCCAACCACGACAGGTCCTGCCAGTCGTCCAGCTGCAGGCAATGGGGAGAAAGCAGAGCCCTCAGCACCCTCCACAGCCACTGCCTCCCACCCCTCAGAGTGCTCCCACAAGGGGCAACCAGGACACGAGGTGTTTGCCGAGGCAGAGGTGCCCAGGTCCCCCCTCTCGGCCTCACCTCTTTCTTGAAGAAGCTGAAGACAGGAGGTGGGTTCCCATCAGACTCACAGACCAGCTTCACGTTGTCCCCTTCCTTCACCAGCGCCGAGGACGGCACGACCTGCAGCGTCAGGTGCTCGGCGGGGTCTGGGGGGGAGAGAAGGGGCAGGGTCAGCGCCAAACCCTGCTGACCAGGCAGCAGCACCGCCCCTCCCGGCCCCCCACTCACAGAAGACGGTGATCTGGACCTTCTGGGACTCCAGGGCGTGCCTCTGCCCCCTCAGCCAGTAGTGCACGGTGCAGTGGTAGCGCGAGTCGCGGTCCTCGCGGGTGACGGGGGCGAACAGGGTGCTGGTCACGGTGTACAGCCCGCTGGACTCGCGGATCCGCGTGTACTTCACCTCTGCAGGGGACACAGGCGCTGTCCCCAGCCACGGCAAACAGGGGCCAGCCCCTCCTCTGGGCTGCCAGCCCCCAGCTGGCGAGGCCCTGGGCAGCGCCAGCACCCCGGCGGTTCCCCATCCCCACCCCACTCACGGCTGTCCTGCAGCTGCAGCTGCTCCCCGTTCTTGTGCCACGTGATGTTGGGGGGTGGGAAGCTGTTCTTGCTCTCACACCTGGCGATCTGTGGGGGCACAGACGGCTTTGAGCCCTGGGGGGGTGCTCCCGGGGGGAGAGGGGAGCTTGGAGCCTCCCCCTGCCCTGCGTGGGGCCGCTCCTCACCAGTGAGTTGTCACTGCTCTGCACAGAGATGCCTGCCGGGTTGGGCTCAATCTCAGGGGTCTCGGGGACCTCTGGAAAGAGAAGCCACCCCACAGGTGTTAGGAGGGATGGGATGGGATGCCCTCGGGCCCTGCAGAGCAGCTGTGCCGCCCCCCTGCCCCATCACTCACTGTAGACGTGGAGCTCGGTGCGGTTCTCGCCCACGCCGGAGCTCCCCGCTCCGACCTGGCACACGAAGGTCCTGGCATCCTGCGTGGTCACCTTGCTGATGGACAGGGCCTTGTCCTCCCCCACCGACAGCCTCTCCTTGTAGGCTGTGTCATCCCTCAGGACCTCGGTGTCCGTGACGTGGCACAGCCTCACCGGGCTGTTGGTGCGGTCCACCTGCAAGGCCAGGGGCCGAGGCTGGGCTGGGGAGCCCGGGGGAACGCCCTGGGCTGGCTGTGCCCCCAGCCCACCACCCAGCTCTCCTCTGCCAGGCCAGCACTCACGTAGAACCAGTTGATGTAGGTGTAGGAACCATTCCCAGGGATGTAGAAGTTGCACTCGATCCTGGCCGTGCCTCCGACCTCCACTTCGACCTCGGCTGGCATGGAGACCTCCAGCTTGCTGGCTGCAGCTGTGGGACAGAGCCTGCTGGTAGGGGCAGGAAGCCCTTGTGCCTGTCCCCATCTCTATCCCCCAAAGGGTGTGGGGCAGAACCGTGTCCTGTGCCAGTGTGCCCCAGACTGGGGATCTTTCAGCAGAAAATATCCCTCCCAAGAAGCTAAATGAGCCCTGGGCAGATCACTGCCAGAGCTGGAGCCGTCAGCACATCACCACAGCAGCCCCAGCTACAAACTTAAAAGCTCTATTAGGCTTAATCATAGAATCTGATGATCTAATCAGATGTGCCCCCACCCATTACCCAGCCCAGCAGGAGTGCCAGCCACGCTGCCTTCAGCATCCCCAGAGTGCCCGTGGGCTCAGGTACCAAGCCCCTCACAGCAGTCCCAAGAGATGGGGCATGAATGAGGCACTGGGTTCCTCCACAGCAGGATGGGCACACAGGGCAGCAGCTCAGGAGGGGTGTCCCAGCCAGCTGTGGCTCCCTGCTGCTCCCTTTCCCCCTCCAAGGGCCCATCAGGGAGGTGGCATGTCCCAGAACACCACGGCCGTGGCACAGCCAGGGCTCCCAGGTCCCTCCACAGCAGCAGGAATCCAGAACCCAGTGGTTGGAGCACCCATCCCTGCAGCATTGCCAAGGCAAGCCCCTCTCTGCCCATGCAGCAGAAACAGCTCTGCCCACCCATAGCATGGGTGGGAGACCCACACCTTGGCAAGAGGGACTGGCCCATCCCTGCACCCACCTTCCCTCCCTGCACCCCTGCACCCACCTTCCCTCCCAGCCCAGCCACCAGCAGCAGTAATGGAGCTCCTGGCCACGCTCCAGGACGGATGGGCAAGGTAATGGCTATTGATCCAGGACAGGGAACGGAGCAGCTTCCCAAGGGATTGGGAGCAGCTCAGCCCCAGTCGGGCACAGCCGAGGCAAGGGCGGCATCATCGCAACAAGGCTGGGAGTGTCACTGCCACCAACCCCACGGGTGACAAAGCAAGGGGGATCTGCACGCCCTGGGCTGGCACAGGGCCCTGCAGAAGGTCCCCCAGCAACAGAGCCAGCCCAGGTACGGGAGCTGGGGACAAGAGGCTCGGAGGAAGCAGCTGTGTCAACATCTCCCGTGATAGCGCGGCTCGGTAACAGCCACCCGGGCAACTTCAAAGGGCAGCGCCCGTGTCCACAAACTGCTCTTTGTTCAGAGTGGGTACGTGGTGGCACAGTGCCAAAGCACAGCCAGGAGCCCCTTCTGCCACACAGCAAAGGCCCCGGGCTCACAGGACCAGCCCATCAGGCAGGTTTTGGCTCGTGCCCTTCCCATCGGCAGGCACAGCTGGCACTGAGCGAAGAGGGATGAGCAAAGCATGGCACAGCAAAGAAAGTGCTAGAAAAACAGCAGGTGATGCCCAGAGATAAGAGTGCACTGGGGACAGGAAATTGGACCCAGTGTACATAGGAAAAGATAACTTTGAACCGCAGGCACCTGCCCACCCTGTGCAGCCACGACTTGGCTGCCTGGTCCACAGCAGGCACCTGCAGAACTGGGCAGGAATTGGGCAAGCCTGGGGCTGGGGTGTGGCCCTGCTGCCACCCTGCACCCTCCTCTGAGCCGCAGGCAGCCAGGCCAGACTTTGCCTCTCTGTCTGACCCAGGGCAGAGCCAGCCCCTGGGAAGGGGAGAGCTGCTGGCCCTCCCCCTGACCCGCTCGGCATGAGGGCCCTCAACCAGGCAGCGAAGCAACCGAAACCATGAGCTCAGAGCTGGAGAATGGCTGGCATCTGGGGCTGGCATGAGGCACACATCGCTCCCAACCATCCACGCTGCCCTTGAGGAGGCTGACACAGTCGCTGCAGCCCCCACCCTGCCTGGAACAAGGGCTCACTGCTCCCCATCTCCCCTGGGACGAGCTGGAAGGAGCACCCAGCAGCCAGTTGGGGGGACACAAGGTGTCCCCTCCCCAACCCTGGGGACACAAGGCTTCCTTCTGCAGCTCCAAGACCTCTTTGCTATTTGCGTGGGCAAGCCAGAGAGGCGCTGGGCACAGGCACCCTGGCACGGCAGGCCCTGGAGGCTTGGCCATCCTCCCTTGTGCCCAGCACAGCTGCAGACACCGGGTCCGGTGAGGGGACCTGGAGACCCCCGAGCAGCACCAGCTGAGGAGCTGAGTGAGCTCCGTCCGTCCACCCCGAGCGAGCGCCTGGCACAGCTCCAGCGGGAGACCCGGAGCTCCGGAGAGGGAGGACGCCTGCAGCCAGCGAGCAGGGAAGGAAGGAGAGCCCCCGTGCCTTTCCATCTGGCTGGCCGACAGCCGGCCGGCAGCCAGAGCTCCACAAGAACAAAGATCTGCTTTTAGAGCCCGGGAAAGGGGGTGGGGAGCAGCACAAGTCCCTCGCCAGCCTCCTGCGGAGCCGAGGTGTGCGGGGAGGCGGCGGCTGCCGCACAGAGCCCCCGGCGCTGAGCCCCCCGGCCCGGAGCGAGAGGAGGGGCACGGCAGGGTGTCTGGAGCCGCACGTGGGATGCCTGAGGTTTCCGTGGGTTTGTGTTCCCCCGTCTCAGGGAAACCAGCTGCGGCCAGATCCCGCCTGCTCCCAGCCACAGGCACACATGCTACCCTCCTGTTCCCCGGGAAAGCTGCTCCCCCTGCGCAGATCTCCGAGCCGGGGTGCCCCAGCTCACAAAGAACACCATCGCTCGCACCTCCTTTTCTTCATGGAGAGAAAGAACAGGATGCAGAGCCCCGGTCCTGCAAGGAGCAGCACCAGCAGCGCCCAACAGCACCCAACAGCCTCCGCCCCAGCCCAGCCCCAGCTTGCTGTGCCAGGGATGGAGCCAGGGCTCTGCTGCCGCAGGGACCAGCACCTTGCACCCCAAAACAACCCCATCACCCTATCAGGACCCTGTCATGTGCACCAGAAGAGGCCAGACTCTCAACCCCACCCCACAGCTCGGTGACAACACCCAGAGTCCCCTCTAACAGCCGGATCGCGGCGCAGAAGGGGCTGGGGTCCCTCTGGCAGCCCCAGGGTGGGCTCAGCCCCCGCTCCGGCAGCATTGGCTGGCCTGGGAATGTCTTGGCTATGGCCCCTCGAGCTTCTGGGAAGCATCAAGCCTTTTCACGTGGCTGGGCTTCCAAACACACCGACGCCGCCAACCATTGAGAGACTCCTGGCTCGGCACATGTGCTATGGGAAGGGGATCCCGGCACGGGCCGGGGGTGGGAGCAGCCTGCTTTAGACTCTGCTCTGAGCCTGACTTTGGCTCCAACACCTCGGCCCGGGCAGGTTCCCAGCGGCGGGGCCACCTCCGCAGCACGGCGGGGCGAGGGAGCAGCCAGCGCACCGGGACCGCTCCCGGGCCCCCGGCGAGGGGAGGGAGGGAGGGATGCGGGGAGAGGGGCAGGGCAGGAAACGCAGCCACCCCCCGAGGGTGAAAATGGACTGGAAAGTGGATAAAAAAAGAAAGCGCTGAAAAAAGCCAAGAGAAACACAGCGCTCAGGGGAAAACTCCTTAGAAGGAAAGGGGTGGATGCCTCCCAATAACAACCAGCTCGCTGAACGCACGTGGGGCACCCCTCAACCTTGGGGGGGCTGCAGAGGAGCCCCCCAGAGCGGGACGGGGCAGCCAGCCCCACCCTGCCGAGGATTGCGGGGCCGTGCGGGCGGGGACACGCGCGGATCCCACCTGGGCTCTGCCCCGGCCCCGCGATCCGAGCATTCCCGGCGCCGCGCCAGGCACCGCCCGAGGGGCGCAGCGCTCCGGGGCTGCTCGTGCTTGGCCCCGGCGGGAGAACCGCCGCCGGCTGCCCCCCGCAACGGCGAGCAAAGCCCCGCACCCCCCGCCGCACCCCGCGGTGCGCCCCGGGGGGACGAAGGGCATCCCCCCGCGCCGCGCCCTCCGCAGCGCCCCGGAGCGCTCCCGCAGGTGCGCGCCCCGCACCGCCCCGCACCGCCCGGCCCGGCCCGCAGCCAACTCACCGCAGCAGAGCAGGAGGCAGCAGCCCCAGCCCAGGGCGAGCCCCGCCGCCCGCCGCCCCCCAGCCATGCCCGCCACCACCGCCAGCCGCCCGCGACTGAAGCGGGGCCCGCGGGGCTGACGTCAGGCGGAGGAGGAGGAGGAGGAGGAGGAGGAGGAGGAGGAGGAAGGCGCGGTGCCTGCCTACCGCCCGCGGCCGCTTATCACCCCCCAGCGGCAGCCGGCCGGGCGCCGCCGCGCCCATCCCATCCCCGCAGCGCCGTGGCCATCCCCGCACGGCAGCGGGCAGCGCTCGGCTCGGGGGTCCTCCCCCTCTGGCGACCCCAAACCCCCAACCCCAGCACAGCCTCTCGTATTCCAGGCGTTCCCAGCGGTGCCGGAGGGGCTCGGCAGCTCCTGCCAGCTCCTGCCTGCCCGGGCGTGCACGGGCTGAGCGAGGCAGACAGCCGGGCGCTGGAGGTGGAATCGCTCGCAAAGTGTGGGATCGGGCTGTTTTCCGTGGGGTTTGGGGAATGCCGGCGACAGGGACTCAGTCCCCGAGAGTGCGGTGTGCAGGTGCCAGCGGTGACGGTCAGGAGTGACCTGCTGCCCCCGCTCAGCCCCACAATCAGCCCTAAAGCCCAGCCGCAGCTGCTGGGTCACCTTTGAACCCGCAGAGCAAACACACAAAAACGGGTGGTGTGGGGGGGAAACCACTCTTTGTCATTGTCTGGGCTCTGAGGAGGCACCTGGTGACAGCGGGGTCCGCGGGGCGCAGCAGGGTCGTGTCCCAGGCAGGTCACCGAGGTCTGCGGGGTTGGTACCCCAGACCCGCGCCCCCAGCCCCACGGAGAGCCCCATCCTGTCCCCGAGGCAGGGCCCCAGGGCACAGCGAGCCGCGGCCGAGCCCCCGCACAGCTGCTGCTGAATGGGGCGGCTGTGCAGGCGCTGCTCGCCGAAGGGGCCGGGGCAGCACGGCTGGCCCGGGGGCGGGGGGGTTCGCGGGGCTGCACAAGGCTCCCATTATCCAGGGGTAATCACCCAGCCGAACGCAGCCCGGCCCCTCCGGCAGCCCGAGGAGGAGCACAGCCAACACCCTCAGGTGCTGCGAGTTGCCCACAATCAAACCACGCAGGACGCAGGGGGCCAGTGTCCCCACCCTGTCACAGCCCGGCTCCGTGCCTCAGTTTCCCCAGGGTCAGTCAGAGCCGGAGGGGCTGTGTTGGAGGACAAAGCACTGGGGTTTTCTTCCCCTTGGAAGCCCTTCTGTTTACCGTACTCACTGCCCATTCACAGGACTCCCAAAGCCCACTGATTCGGGATCACCCCACCCGGGGACAGGCTCAGGGCTGTCCCCAGCTCTTCTCCTACTCTCAGCCCTGGGGGCTCTCAACCTCTGCATATTCTTTGCTCTCTCTGCTTGCTTTCCCTGCAGCATGATCTGTGCTCCAGGGCCCAGGCAGCACAGGCTGCCTATCTCTGACCCTGCTGAGCCACCCAAGGGCTGGGCTGCAGGTTCCCCTGAGGCACAGGATTCCTCCCGGGAATCCCCGAGCACCTCTCGAACCACCAGACCCTTGTGCTGGCCCCCAGCCCCAGCCCTGCTCCCCCGCTGGTGCCATGCAGCGCCCCTTCCCATGCCCTCCTCCTCCTCCTCCTCCTCCTCCTCCACCTCCTCTTCAGGCCCGACCAACACCCCCCCCCCTTCAACAGAGAGCCAAAGACTTGATGATTCATCGGAAATGATTAAATTTTTTTCCCCACAGGATTAGTTGCTTAAAATGGCAATGCTGGGCAGCGATAAGGCTCGGAGCCCTTGTGCTGCCGCTGGAGAGGGGAGGCCTCCTCCCTTCGCCGGGAGGAACAAGTGCAAGGGAGCTGAGGTGTCACCCACAGGATGCTCGGGAGCTGCTCTCCGATTTAAGCCCCACAAGTGCCACCCTGCGAGGGAAGGGGGCCCAAGGGCTGCTTGGAAAGCACCCACCAAGTCAAACAAACAAGCGGGAGGACCGAGATGGCACGCTGCTGGGTGCATTTTGTTCCGGGGCTAACTTTTATTCAGTGTTAAAAATAAAGCAGAATGTTGCTAAGAAAACCTCTGCAGGAAAATTCCCAGCAGTTGGAAAGGGCAGTGCCCCTCCCTGGAGAAAACAGGCTGGCCAGCCACTGCGGCGGGGAACGTGCCACCCTCAAACAGCCTCCTGCTCCCACTGCCTGGCTGTGCCTCCAGTTGGTTGGGCTTCAGTCTTTTAACCTTTGAAAAAAACTTGGGTTTTTTTTCCCCCTAACAAACTAATGGCTCTGGGGAAGGCGGGCAGGGTTTGAAAGCAAGGCAGGAACAGATGGCATGAAATCGCCCTGTTGCGCTGTGTGTGGCACCCAGTGGGCTCGGGGCTGGCCACCTTCATCTTCCCTCTCTGCTGCCTGATCTCACGCCCTCTTGTTTATTTGCTTGCTTAATGGATTTGGCGTTGGCACCCATTCACAGCCACGCACACAAACATGGATTAGGCTCCCCTGTCCTGGTCCCACGCACACAGCCAGGGTGGGAAGGTCAGGGAGCACAGGTCTGGACCCACCTGAGGCACAGAGCAGATCTCACAGCTCTCCCTCTCTGGCACTGGAGGGAATATTGGTGCACTATCCTCCTCCATCCCTCCTGCCACCTCTCAGGTGAGGCTGTGCCCGGGCAGGCAGCTCTGCCCCTGGCAGCGGTGGGGCTTTGCCAGTCCCTGGCACAGCTGCTGGAAACCTGGGATGCACAGGACCGTGCCCAGGGCAGGGCTCATTCCCCGGCGTTATCCGAGCATCGCAGGTTGCAGGAATGATCTGGAAGTGTGTAATTGCATTTGCCTCCCCTCCCCTGGCTCCCGCTGAGCCCGGCTCTCCACAGCCAGAGAGGGGCACAGAGCCAGGCACAGAGCACAGGCTGCATCCCAGCACACACCTCAGCCCCTTCCACCTTTCCAGCGAGATCCCTGCTGGTGTGGGACAGAGGGATGCTGCCAGAGGGAGCTGGGCTGTGCTCTCGCTGTGCGTGTCCCGACACGTGTCCCAGGTAGGGACAGGGGGCCCTGTGCCTTCCCCAACCCCTGCAGTCCCCAGCCGAGCCCGTGGGGCCCAGAGCAGCTCGGGGGCTCTGTGGGATGCTCTGTGCCAGCTCCCTGCAGCCAGTGCCGGTGGTGCTGCCGATGGAGCTGTCGGCTGTCCCGGCTCCCCGTGCGCTTCCAGGGGGATGCAGGGCAGCCGTGCAGGGCGGAAGCCTCGGCTGCATCCGCCCAGGCCTGCACCTCTTCACACAACACCGGCAGGGCCGAGAGGGGCCCCGCTCCCCGGGGAAGGGACGGGCTGTGGGCCAGCGCTGCGCTTTCCCACACCGCCCCAGCTGCTTCGCTGCCGCTGGGCCATGGCAGTGCTGAGGGTCACTGCCCTCAGGCACCTTCCTGCCAGGCCCTGGTGCTGCCTTTTGGGGTGCTCGAGGGCTCTGGGGTAAGTACAGGAACCTGCCTGGGATGTCCAACCGCTGGTGCCCGTTCCCTGGTTGGAAGACAACGAGGAATGGGGTATCCTACATGCCATGAGGGCATCTCGGGGCACCTCCACCCCACCTCTGTTCACCTTTGAAAGCCCTCTTCGACACCCCTGTTGTTCGGTTCAGGAAAACGCCTCCTTCCAACCCCCTTCCTCGGCTGGGCTGCCAGCGGCTCCTTTGTGTCTCCCCTCTCCTTCCTCTCCTCTTCTGCAGGGCCTTTCTGTGGGGATTATTAACCATGGCTACAGGGCCTTTGTTCAGGAGGGGCCAGGAGCGGGAGCTGCCAGGAGGGTGGAGGAAGGAAGGGAGCAGAAGGGGGGGAGGAAGGTGACATCTGGATTTCTGTGCCGGACGAGCGCGATCTCCTGGAGCAGCTGCACGGCGATGGTCGGGGGGGTCAGGGGGTGCAGAGCAGTGGCAAAGCCCCAAAAAGGAGCCGAGCTGGCAAGGGTCAGCCATCCCCAGGCCGTGCAGTCCTCCCCTCACACCCTGGGCATGGCTCTCGCCGTGTGCAGGGTGGATGGACAAGGACAGCTGGGGCAGCGGGAGCTCCTGGGAGAGCCTCAGCCAGCTGACAGCCCAGGCACAGGGAGAGGGAGCCCTCTGGCCAGCCTGTCACTCGGCATCTTGGGGGTACAGGAGCCCCACGTCCCCGAGCAGGTGCTGCCCTGGGACAGGCTGTGAGCAGCCACGGACTGAGCCCTCGCTCACACCCTTTCAGCCGGGCTGGGCACGGACGTGCTCCAGGCTCCCCTCCCAGCCCTGCCGCACTGCTGCCCTGGCACAAGGGGCAAGCTTTGGGGCTAGGTGGGGGCTGAGTGAGAAGCCAGAGCCTGGGGATGGTTATGTATAAAGCAGCCTTTTCCTTCAGAACATTTCCAAGTCCATCTCCCCCCAGCGCCAGCCGGAAAAAGGCCCCATTGTCCCGGTGCCACACGGGCCGGGGCCGGACACTCGCCCACACAAAGGGGCAGATCCTGTGCCTGGCCGTGGGCTCCAGCCCTGGGACACCTCCCTGGGAGGGGCAGCTGCTCCAGCCCCCACATGGAAACCCTGGCGTGGGCTCCCTGTGGGCTCCAGGCAGGGATGTCTTCCTGCCTGCTTTGCCTGCAGGGCTTGGGGCTCCCCCGGGACGGCTCACCAGGATCAACTGTGAGAAAGCCTAATCACAGATTAGCCCCAGATGGGCAGCTTTAGGCCAGCCCCAGCTCTGGGGGAGCCCCTCTAGCAGGGGATCCCTTTGGAGGCTTTGGGAAGGCTCCCCATGGAGAGGGGAGGAAAGGCAAAGGCAGACAGGGCTGCCAGGGCAGCCAGCAGGGCACAGTCCCCATCCCACCTCCCCACAGCACTGGGGACATGCTGGAGCACCAGGGCCCCAGGGAACTGTGGGGCTGGCGTGGCCAAGAAGGAATTTCTCCTCGCAGGACTTTCCCAGGGAAGAGGACTTGCTTTTCCCAGGGCTGTCTGGCTGGGCTCCAGGAGGAGAGAGAGATCCCAGCTCCCACTGTGGGGGGACACCCAGCCCTCCAGAAACACGGTGGGCAGCCCTCGTGCTCCTGCTCTTCC